AAAAATCCTATTTAAAAAATGTTGTTTGCCCTATACTGACTATTATAATCGATTAGAATATCTAAAAATTCAAACTCTTGAAAATCGTAGAAAAATGTATGATCTAATGTTGGCATTTAAGATACTTAATGGTTATACACATATTAACCCCAAAGATATATTTCTAATCTCTAATAGGAAAAATAGGTCTAAAATAAGAATTAATTCAAAACAGCAAAATAAATTTAGCTCTAAATCTTTTATAAATAGAGTAACAAAAGATTGGAATGTATTATCCAACGAAAATATCCTAGCAAGACGCCTTTAACTTTTAAAAATAAACTAAAGTCCATTTTGGTACAATAAATTAACTATTTTAGGCTTTTATGGGTATGACAAGCACACTATCAAAAACAACAAAGAAATGGGAAAAATACGAAAATAAACAGTTATTAATTTATAAATATTTTTTCTGTTTTTTTGGTGTATTTGATAATTATTTATGCTCAAAAACAAAACAAAAATTCCTATATTTTTTTTACGAGATAGCAAAAAATAGTACCATCTACTCAGTTTTTAGTTTAAATTTGATAAAAAATAAATTTTTATTTTTTTAAGTAAATATTGGTCTAATTTTTGCTAGACTCTAATGACAAAAACAAAAAATTTTTTATTTTAAATTTGGCGTTTTGTATTTTGTACTTGTGTTGGATTTTGGTCGATAATTATTGTGATCCAAAAAACAAATATTTTCTATATTTTTCCCTAAGAGATAAAAAAAAGGATAGTATTTACTATTTAGATTATATATATTTTTTTTTAATTTGTCAAAAATTTTTTTTTGAATACTACCCTATCTTTTTTTTAGACTCTAATGACAATAATTCTTAATTAAATGTTGGCGTTTCGTATTTTTATTTGTTTAGATGATTCATATTTTTTATTATAATGTTAGGAACTTTCTTTTTTTTAAGATTGACTTTATATCCATTTTTTATATATGCGTTTCTAGTGTTTTCCCCTCTTGACTTTTAATTTAATTTATATAATTTATTTATTTTTTTAGATATTTTTCTAAACTTTTTTTGCTCTTTGACATTCTTGGGTAAAAATGACTGGAAAACGCTCTCAAGCTAATTCCAATGTTTCTCATATTAATCAAAGGATGGAATTTGACAACAAAAAAAAAAGAGAGAATTAGGAATTATTTTATACAAAATAATAATATCACAGAACGTTTTCTTTGTTATTTTTTTCCAAATATCTCCATTTAAATTATTTATTTTATCAATGATGTAAGTGGTACTCCCCTTTCATTGTATATTTTTAATTTTGAATAAATAAATAAATAAATTTTAAAGGATTTTAGAAAAGATGAAACCAACCTCTTTATTAAATCGAGTTAATTTGACACCGTATTACACATACAAGGAATTAATTGTATGTTTTTAATTATTTTAATTTTATTATTTTTTGCTTTTATTTTCTTAGCCGCTCTGTGGTAAAAATTTAGTTCCGAATGCAACGGAGAGGCCAAGATCTAAAAAGTAATTTTTTGAATAAATTTGGGTGTATGAGGAGTGGAAGGGGATGTCGGATTCGTCTAAGGGTTTACTCAGATATTTTTTAGAAACATTTTTAAAATAAAAAACATTTCACAAGTTTTTTATTTTTAAAAATTTTTTGGGCGTTTAAAACTCACCCAACCCTTGGAAGCCTTTTATTGGAAGTCAGACCTCACCTGTGGATTACCCTTATGGCCCTGATTTTTTTTTTGATATTTCGATATATTTGTGGGTATTGAATTAATGAAATGACTAAAGGTATAGTTAACCCTACATGCGTGGGTGTACTCACAAAATTAATTAATTTTTTTAAGCAAATGTTTGGATGAAATGCAGCATTTATTTGCCTGTTTAAAGAAATGGGAATATGACGATTTGCATTGTAAAGAATTTAATGAAGCGTTGCAACGCTGTGTTAGCGAAAACCATGTTCACATCCAAGCACAACTTAAACGAAATCGTGAGGGAGAATTAAAGTTTCACATTGCCTCTGAAGGAAGCGACGTTAAAGAACACGCAGACAAAATGTCTTTAAAAGAAATTAATACTTTATTCAAAAAATATCCACAACCGGATTTGCCTAAACCTCCATACAATCCTCACCAACGTATGGGACATCAACCTTATTGGGGAGATCAATTCAATCTTAAATATAAGAGAGGGAAAAAGAGTTGAGAGATGAATTATTATTGTTGTTTGTTTTAATGATTTTAGTTGTAGTATTTTTTGACTGCTTATAAAGAAACGTTCTATTTTCCTTTAAAATTTTTTTTTCATTAAATTTGGATATTTTGTTCTAGAGTACGTCCGAGGTCGATCGAGTACGAGTTGTTCAACTCGATAGCTCGGGGTTTTTTTAGCCTTTACACGGGCTCGGAACTCGTGATTTTAATACTCTAAGCTTCTTACTTGACAGACATCGTTAAAACCTTGTATTTTTATGCCTCTATCTGCGGCACAAAAAAGGAAGATTTTTGGCTCAAGGATCTTCCAAATTTCTCTAAATTCTGGTCTCTTGGCCTTCCAAGTTTTTCAAATTTTTCGCCTGCGGCGCTGATCATTAAATTGAGGTACAAGAATGCAAAAAATCGTCAAACTTTAAGCTATATTACCGTTTTAAATATTTACCGAATTAGCAGTTGACACTTTGACATTTTACATTTTGTAATATTTTATGCTTAGGAAATACAAAATATCAAAAAATATTTGTGATCATTTTTTCGAAAAAAAAATTTTGACAGAATTCTACGAATTTTTAAAAGAAATTTTCAAGTATAAAAGCTGTTAATTTTTATTTTTATTCTATTCTTTATTCAATAAGTTTAATTTTCCTTTACATTCTCTTATTAGTTCCAGCCTAAAATTTCAAGAAAATGTATTATCATCTTCCGAGTGAGGTCCATTTGGATATTGTCAAATGTCTCAACTTTAATCAGTTATTTTCTGTTAAACAAGTCAATCGCTACTTTCTTTGGTTTATTGGTAAATATGAGGGGGAATTGGCTCGAAAATTTTTTAAGCATATGGGACAGGTAATTTTTTTCGAATAATCTGGTAATAAATTTGCCTTCTTTAGACTCAACTTTCTGGTTTTTATGAACAACACAAAAGAGAGAATGGACAGCTTGATTATAAAGTATTGGACTGTAAAGAGCTTGGACGTTATGTTGTTCATTCACCGGTGGATAATGAACTTTTGAAGAAGGTAAAAGATTTTGGCTCTTGTCCAGTTTAAGCGTCCAAATGAAAATTTATGCGTATAAACGTTTTTATGCGTCCAATCACTATTTTAAGTATCCGATTCTACACTAAATCACCATAAAATTTATGGAAATAGAAAGCTCTACTCCCACAGAGTTATGATAATAGGTCATAAGTTTTAACACAGCACCAGGTACTTAAAAATAATTGGGGGCATAAAATGTGATTGGACGTAGTATATGGATATATGGTCGGACGACGCTTAAACTGGATTTATAATATAAACGCGGAAAAGAGCCAAGATTTGCCTAAACTTTGGTTCGATTTTTTTCTTTTTAGTGGCAAACCGCACTTGATAAACAAATTTGTTTATATGTATATCCAGGATTTCTAGACCGTTTGGGTTTTCACTGCTGTTTACGTTTACAGATGGTATTAACTTTACAACTAAATTTTATTAATATTTTTTTTAATTTTCAATTCATTTTTAGAATTTCGACATTTAATCTTGCAATTGCCTCCATTTCCAATGAATATTGAAGAACTTCAAATTATTCGTTTCTGGTTAATCCAACTATTCAATTGTGGATTTGAAGAAGTCATCTTTATGTATGTTACATTCAATGCTGCAATGATTAAATTACTTTTTGAAGACGACAAAACAATCTCTACCAAATTTTTGACTAAACGGGCAACCATACAAGACTGTGTTCCTGGATTAACAAATATTTTCAAAAACAATCTGACAATTTTGGAAAGTCTTAAAATAAAATCTAGTATGGCTTTGGTAGATTATCGTGTTTTGTTGCCACTATTCTTCAACAAAATTCCTTACGTTTTTTACAATCATGATCCTACACTTTACAGCATACTTTTGGATGTAAGTTTAACTTTCGCTTTGATCAACCTAGTAAATATATTTAGACAATCTAGGATTTCCTAATGGAAAATCTGTAAATAGGAATTGTGCCCATATTTATTTCTCCCAAAATATATGGTGATAAACCTATGAGGGAATAAAGAGGGGTCATTAAAGTTCACAATTCCTCTAGAAATCTTTTAAAAAATTTTAAAATTTAGCATATTGAAAATTCAACTGATTGTCAAATTATGGTGGATAAAACTGAGTTTCGTTACGTGAATTGGTCCCATTTTACTTTGAGCAAAAGGGCAGAGAACATTGAAAGGAAAAGCGTTGATAGATTCAATTATGTCAAATACGAACTTGCCAATATTCATAATCCGAATATTAAGTTCCTTATTCAATGGATATATACAGAAACAGTAATGGATGCGTTTTTACAACATCATATAAATCTACAAGCTTATCTTGCGATTGAAAGAATGAAGGGACAGAATATTATATCGCTTCTTGATTATGAGTTGAATAGGCTTTTTCGTTAGTCCATTATGTTTGTTAGTCTTCCTATTATTATTGTAAACTGTAATTATCTGTGTAATTTTTAGTTGTTGTAATTCTGAATAAAATAATATATTTAAAGCTTCTTGTTTTTCTCAACTTGTATGTTTACGATCATTTTTAATTATCTGTGTATATTTAATGTTTCTTCAAATTTTTTAGTTCCAGCCTAAAATTTCAAGAAAATGTATTATCATCTTCCGAGTGAGGTCCATTTGGATGTTCTAAAATGCCTCAAGTTTAATCAGTTATTTCTTGTTAAGCAAGTCAATCGTTACTTTCTTTCGTTTATTGGTAAATACGAGGAGGAATTGGCTCGCAAATTTTTTAAACACATGGGACCGGTAATCTTTTAAGCATTGATAGCAAATTTTTCCCTTTTTTAGATCATGCACGCCGAGTGTAATTTTGAATATAAAGTTTTGGAGCCTGGACTTGATGCTGTTAATTTTCCAGTGGATAATGAACTTTTGGTGAAGGTGAAAATTTTTTTTTGAAAGAATTTAGTGTGCGGACATATCGGATTGCTGGAAGAAAAATAAATCGAAAAATAATTTTATGTTTGTTTACGTTAGTACTAAAACATAAAAACTTCTCAATAAGGACCCAATGGTCGCTGGTCCCCGTGTAATAGTGATGTTCGGGTATCCCGATCCCGACTCCCGACTCGGGAAAATTTCCCGAGTTTTTGGCCTCCCGATCCCGACTCCCGGTATCAATTCCCGAGTAAGTCGGGAAATTTTTACACCCCTAAGAATGGCCTATTTGATGAAATTTTATTTTTGAAAGGAAAAAAATAAAGGGAAAAGAATAAAAATAGAAAGGGAAAATAAAATATTTAATTTTTTCCCATTTAACTATTGTTGAGGGGTGGCTGAATGGTCAGGTTGAGTGACTTTACTCCCTTTGATGGGGCTGGGTTCGAATCCGGAATGTGGAAATGTTATTTAAATGGTTTTTCCTTCCAAAAGTAAAAGGTTTTTAGCATTGATTTTAATTTTAAAATTTTAAAGTTATTTTTTTCAATATTATAAACGTCAAAAACTATAGAAAATTAATTTAGTCATGAATTTTCAAAAAATTTCGCCTGCGGCGCAAAAAATGAAGAATATCTGGCTTCTTAGCCTTCAAACTTGAAAAATAATTTCAAAAGTGGCGCTGAGGCAAGAAAAATTTGACTTCTTGGTCTTCCAAATTTAAAAAAGTTTCACAGCGTCGCAGAAAAATGATGAAATCTAGCTGAATGGCTTTATAATTCTCAAAATTTTCGCCTCCGGCGGTAGATAAAGAAGTCTGGTTCTTAGCCTTCCAAACATAAAAAAAGTTCCGCCTGCGCAGACAAAGGATTTGAGATTAAGAGGGATACAAAAAACTGCCCAGACTGATGATAACATCAAGGACGTATCTAGGAGACTAGAGCCCCCTACCTCAGCCACGAAATTGGGGAAATGGGAGGGGGAAAATCATTAAGATCGAAAAATTGAATTTTTTCGTTTACGACCTTACAAATTCTCAAAATTTTTGCCTGCGGCGCTAATAAGAAGGATGTCAGACTTCTTGACCTTCCGAAATTCTCCTAATTTTCGCCTGCTGTCAAAAATAAGGTATTTTTGGCGCCGAAGGCGCCAGAAATTTTTTTTATTGTAAATTCCCGACTCCCGATCCCGACTCCCGAGGTCACTTCCCGACCCGACTCCCGTTTCCCGATTCCCGAGTTTTTTCTTCTCCCGAACATCACTACCGTGTAATCAGTAGATTAACTGAAAGTACCTTGAAATATTCCGATATATGTGTCCGCATGCCCTACTTTTTAAAAAATATTCCGATATACATTTGTTCTAATTGAGCCACCTGTGCTTCTATTTTTCAACCCCTTCATTTGGGGCTGTTCTATAGAGACCGTGGTTCTAATAGTAGAATAAATTCTATATTTTTATGTTTAGTGGCAATCCGCGATAGATGAACAAGTTCGTTTATATGTATCTGTACTTAGACGTTTTGCAGCTAGTTTTGTTTTGCGTTTAGTGGACGGTATTTTAACCTTATAATTTATCGTTAGTTTTTTATCTTTTAGAAGAATCTCAAAATTTAATGATTAAATTGCCTTCTTATCCAAAGAATATTGAAGATATGAAAAGTATTCGTTTCTGGTTAATTCAACTGTTTAATTGTGCTTTTGGAGAAATTAACTTTACTCGTGCTACATTCAATCCTTTAATGATTAAATTACTTTTTGAAGACGACAAAACGATTTTTACCAAATTTCAAACTAAACGGGCAATTACAACTGCGGACGCTCCTTTATTAACGGATATCTTTAAAAACAATATGATAATTCGTGAATGCCTTGAGATACATTGTGGTCGACATTTTGGGCAATACGATGTTTTATTTCAACTATTTTTGAATGCTAGAATTCCCTATGTTTATCTTGATCATCATGGGCATAATATTCTTTACAATTTAATTATGAAGGTAAGTTTTCAATTTTTTGACTTTAAAAATATATGTGCGCTATCCGTTTAAGCAAACGGGCAAGGAAAATCTGAGAAATTAATCACTAGCTTCCTGCAATTAGCGCCAACGTTTTTTTAATAGTTTCGCCTTATTCCTATATAATTTTTATGGGAATAAAGGAGCACCACACCCTATAAAGTTATTTCATTTTTTTCTGCTTCCTCCATCCATATACGGACAATATTCAATGGATATACATAGTAGATAACGGTACCACTGGTTCTAAAAACAAAACAGAGTACTTATTGATATAGATTTCCTTAACTATTTTTCGCCTTATACCATCTTTTCCTTTCTCCTCATTTGAAAACGGAATTTTGTGTATCTCCTTTCAGATCCAAAAAAAAAATTTCAAAATTTAGCATATTGAAACTTCAACCGATTTTCATCTTATGGTGGATAAATTCAAGTTTCATTACCTCGATTGGGGTCATTTTACTGTGAGCGAAAGAGCGGAGAATGTTGAAAAGAAAAGATTTGATGGATATGGGTTTACTAAATATGAACTTTCTAATATTCACAATCCAAATGTGAAGTTTCTTGTTCAATGGATACACAAAGACAACTTTGATGTGCGTGTTCAGCCTTGTATTTTAATTGAAAGAATGAAAGGGCAGGAGATTAAATCGCTTTTGGATGAGTATAATTTAAATTGAAGTTCTTGATAATATGTTAAAATTGTTATAATAAATGATTTTTTAGTACTTTAGACCAGGGATGTCACGGGTTACACGATACCCAGAACCTTGTCTTTCAACCTGAAACCCTATCCGAGAAAAATTTTGAAGATCCGACCCGACTTTTTTTCTCAACTCGTGACATTCCTGCTTCAGAATTGAGTTAGGATACATATTTTGTCTTTGAATTTAATAAGACTTTTGAATAAAATTTGAACATTATTCCAAGAATTTTTAAAAATAGTTGTAGTATAAAAGCTGCAGACTTTACTTTTACTGTTCTCTTTTTATTTGATATTTATTGCCTAGTTGCAGCCTTTTAAAAAATGTTTGTTCATCTTCCGATTGAAGTTCATTTGGACACTTTTAAATGCCTTAACTTTAATCAGCTATTTTCTGCAAAACAAATCAATCGCTACTTTCTTTCGTTTATTGGCAAATATGAGGGGGAATTGGCTCGCAAATTTTTTAAGCATATCGGACCGGTAATTTTTTCCTAATCTTCTTAACAAATTTTTCCCTTTTTTTAGATTCCACTTGCTGGTTTTTATAGACAACACAAAAAAGAGAATGGACAACTTGACTACAAAGTTGTATCTCTTGAAGAGCTTGGACGTTATGTCGTTCATTCACCTGTGGATAATGAACTTTTGGAGAAGGTAAAAGAAGATTTTTTGACTAAACTTTGTTCAAATATTTTTTCTCTTTTCAGTGGCAATTTGCAATAGATAAACAGCGTTGTTTATATACATATCCAGGATTTCTAGACCGTTCGGAGTTTCGCTGTTATTTACAGTTAACGGATGGTAGACTTTAGAATTAATATGGGTCCACCCAGACATTAATTCTCAGACATCCTTCCTAATCCGCACGAATACTTTTTATCAGCCCAACTATCTGAGGTCGACCTTCTGGGTTGATCCCATAAATATTGTTAAGCTTCAATTCTTTTTTAGAATCTCGTCATTTACTTCTACAATTGCCTACGTTTCCAAAGAATATTGAACAGCTTCAAATTATTCGTTTTTGTTTAATTCAACTGTTTAATTGTTTTTTTGAAGAAATTTGCTTTATGCATGTTACATTCAATGCTACAATGATTAAATTACTTTTTTACAACGACAAAACAATTTCTCCCAAATTTCTGACTAAACGGGCAACGATAGGTGATGATACTCATGGATTAAAATATATTTTCAAAAACAATCTGACAATTCTTGAAAGTCTTAAAATACGTCCTAGTTTGGCGGTGGAGGATTATCGTGATCTGCTGCCACTATTTTTCAATAAAATTCCTTATGTTTTTTACGGTCATGATATGCGTCCTACGCTTTGCAACTTGATTTTGGATGTAAGTTTGACTTTTGCTTTGATAAATATATTTTTGGGAAAGCCAGGATTTTCTTTAAAAAAATACTGGAGTATCCTGAAATACGAATTGTGAACTTTGTTTGACCTCTATTTTCCCCCAAAATCTATGGTGATAAGTTTTCTAGTGTTGCGCCGGAATTTCCGATTCCGATAGGCCTGAAGTTCTGGGATTTTTTGGTTCTGGTTTGTAAGTAAAGTTCCGGTCAAAATTCCAGTTTCGGCTACGCTCCCAGCCAAATTTGCGGTTCCAACGTAACACTATAAGTACCCAGTTCTGCGTGTTAAAACCTATGGTCAGATGGGATAAATTAGGGATTATACAACGTTCTCAATTCCCCTTAAAATTTTTAAAATTTTAGCATATCGAAAATTCAACTGCTTGTCAAATTAATGTGGACAAAACTGAGTTTCATTATCAAAATTGGCCTCTTTTTACTATAAGCGAAAGGGCAATAAATCTTGAAAGGAGGATGGTTGATAGATTCAATTATGTCAAATACGAGCTTGCCAATCTTCACAATCCGAAGATTAAGTTCCTTGTTCAATGGTTATATACAGAAATAGCAATTAATGAACACGCACAAGGTATGGGTATACTACAAGCTTATCTTGCGATTGAAAGAATTAAAGGACAGGAAATTGAATCGCTTCTTGATTATGATTTGAATAAGCTTTTCTTTTAGTGTTTGTCTTGTAGTATGTATAATTGTTATAGGTAGTATTTGTATAATTTTTTGGTTGTTGTAATTCTGAATAAAATGATATAATTAAAAAGCTCTTTGTTTTTCGATTTTTATGTTCACGATCATTCTTCAATATATGTACATATTTATTTTTTACTTTTTTCGAGCCGATCCCTTATCTGACTTTTTCCTCATCCCTGATACACCCATAAATACACTACGAAGTAGGGGTTTTTCTTGTACCCAGAGTCAATGCCCAGGCCTTTTTTGACCTTCCTGAGTTTTTCCTGGGCCTGGGGAAGCTGGAAGCCTTTTTCCTGGGCCTGGCCTTTTCCTGGACTACAAGCCCAGGGGCCTATTTTAATTGTCCGCAGATTCTGCATTCTGTGCACAGAACACAGATTCTGTGGAAATTCTGTTTTAATTAAATTCTGTGTGCACAGAATCTGTGGTGCCCACAGATTCTGTGGAAACGTCCACTGATTCTGTGGAAACATTCCGCAGATTCTGTGGACAAAAATTTCTGTGGAAAATATAAAAATCTGTGGATTTTTTTCACTAATCCACAGAATTCCTGTTTTAATTATTTTTCTGTGGTTCTGTGTATTTTTTCTGTTAAATTCAAATTTTTTATTAACGCGATTTACCAAAATACAATTTTTATTGAAACGAAAAATGGTTTGGACGGTTCAGTACTACCGTAGTATTACTGGTACCGGATTTTTTGAAGAAAAAAGTAAGAAATTTTTAAATTAAACTGAAAAATATTGTAAAAATTTAAAAATTTTCCCTCCGAAGCACATGACATCCCTTTAAATCTCTTTAATATTACTTTAAATCGGCTGATATACCGCTTAATTTTCTTGACCATCCAATATCCTTCAAATCACCGATTAGATTAATGTCAGGGTTCGGATCGAAATATCCTGAGATGTGGATCCGACATCGGGTGAGGCTATATCAATCTATTTATATCAAACAAATCAACATATCCCATGCTCTAATCCCCATATATTTCCTTAATCTTCGAAAGATTTTCGGGTCGGTTAACCGAAAAAACCCACAACCATAGTACGGAGTAATTAGTGAGATATTGGGGATTAATTGAGATATTGGTGGATAAAATGATACGGAGAGATATTAAAGGATACATACTGTATTCTCTTTTTTACTCATATTTTTCTATACTTAAATCACTCCAAATATATCGATATCCCTCCAAATCCACCAATATCCCCTTAATCCCTCTAATTTTTATACCAATAGATAGAGGAGAGTGTTTTACATACTATAAGTAAAAATCAGAATTTTAGTTTAGCTTTTCAAAGACTTATAAAATTTAAAAGATGTTCGATTGAAATTATTAAAAAATAACATAAAAAATGCCTATTGGAAAGAATGAGTCCCTTATTCTCCCATAAATGGGGTACTTTACGCGAGAGCTTATACTACAAGCCCAGGGGCCTATTTTAATTGTCCGCAGATTCTGCATTCTGTGCACAGAACACAGATAATACAAAATGCTTATTTCAGAATGAGACTTGTTTTTAAAGTTATTAAATCTAGAACAACCTTAACATGGTTAACCGTTTATAAAAGCTATATAAGACCTTTACTGGAATATTCTCCAGAGGCTTGGAACCCATTACAGAAATCTGAAATAAGTCGATTAGAAAAATGTCAAAAATACTTTACAAAAATCCTATTTAAAAAATGTTGTTTGCCCTATACTGACTATTATAATCGATTAGAATATCTAAAAATTCAAACTCTTGAAAATCGTAGAAAAATGTATGATCTAATGTTGGCATTTAAGATACTTAATGGTTATACACATATTAACCCCAAAGATATATTTCTAATCTCTAATAGGAAAAATAGGTCTAAAATAAGAATTAATTCAAAACAACAAAATAAATTTAGCTCTAAATCTTTTATAAATAGAGTAACAAAAGATTGGAATGTATTATCCAACGAAAATATCCTAGCAAGTACGCCTTTAACTTTTAAAAATAAACTAAAGTCCATTTTGGTACAATAAATTAACTATTTTAGGCTTTTATGGGTATGACAAGCACACTATCAAAAACAACAAAGAAATGGGAAAAATACGAAAATAAACAGTTATTAATTTATAAATATTTTTCTGTTTTTTTGGTGTAGTTGATAATTATTTATGCTTAAAAAACAAAACAAAAATTCCTATATTTTTTTTACGAGATAGCAAAAAATAGTACCATCTACTCAGTTTTTAGTTAAAATTTATTAAAAAATAAATTTTTATTTTTAAGTAAATATTGGGGTAATACTGAAGAATACAGACCCGATTTTTTCCTCCCCAATTTTCTCCCTATATTTTTGCAAAATGGTCAGACTTTTTCCTTTCTTCCATCTATTTTGCCTTTCTAATTTTTGCCTACAATCAAACAAAAAGGATTATTTTTGATATTTTATTTACTATTTTAATAGAGAAAATGAGTCTTCTCAAACTCATACTTGTCAAATACCAAAAATAATCCTTTTTGTTTGATTGTAGGCAAAAATTAGAAAGGCAAATTGCATGGAAGGAAGAAAAAAGTCTGACCATTTTGTAAAAATATAGGGGGAAAATTGGGGAGGAAAAAATCGGGTCTGTATTCTTCAGTATTACCAATATTGGTCTAATTTTTGCTAGACTCTAATGACAAAAACAAAAAAAAAAATTTTTTTATTTTTAATTGGCGTTTTTTATTTTTTTACTTGTGTTGGATTTTGTTATGTCGATAATTATCGTGATCCAAAAAACAAATATTTTCTATATTTTTTTCCCAAGAGATAAAAAAAAGATAGATTTACTATTTAGATCATATATTTTTTTAATTTGTCAAAATTTTTAACTGAATACTACCCTATCTTTTTTTAGACTCTAATGACAATAATTTTTAATTAAATGTTGGCGTTTCGTATTTTTATTTGTTTAGATGATGCATACTTTTTATTATAATGTTAGGAACTTTTTTTTTTAAGATTGACTTTATATCCATTTTTATATATGCGTTTTTAGTGTTTTCCCCTTGACTTTTAATTTATATAATTTATTTATTTTTTAGATATTTTTCAAAACTTTTTTTGCTCTTTGACATTCTTGGGTAAAAATGACTGGAAAACGCTCTCAAACCAATTCCAACGTTTCTCTTATTAATCAAAGGATGGAATTTGACAACAAAAAAAAGAGAACTAGGAATTATTTTATACAAAATAATAATATCACAGAACGTTTTCTTTGTTATTTTTTATCCAAATATCTTCATTTAACTTATTTATTTTATCAATGATGTAAGTGGTACTCCCCTTTCATTGTATGCACATGACATCCCTTTAAATCTCTTTAATATTACTTTAAATCGGCTGATATACCGCTTAATTTTCTTGACCATCCAATATCCTTCAAATCACCGATTAGATTAATGTCAGGGTTCGGATCGAAATATCCTGAGATGTGGATCCGACATCGGGTGAGGCTATATCAATCTATTTATATCAAACAAATCAACATATCCCATGCTCTAATCCCCATATATTTCCTTAATCTTCGAAAGATTTTCGGGTCGGTTAACCGAAAAAACCCACAACCATAGTACGGAGTAATTAGTGAGATATTGGGGATTAATTGAGATATTGGTGGATAAAATGATACGGAGAGATATTAAAGGATACATACTGTATTCTCTTTTTTACTCATATTTTTCTATACTTAAATCACTCCAAATATATCGATATCCCTCCAAATCCACCAATATCCCCTTAATCCCTCTAATTTTTATACCAATAGATAGAGGAGAGTGTTTTACATACTATAAGTAAAAATCAGAATTTTAGTTTAGCTTTTCAAAGACTTATAAAATTTAAAAGATGTTCGATTGAAATTATTAAAAAATAACATAAAAAATGCCTATTGGAAAGAATGAGTCCCTTATTCTCCCATAAATGGGGTACTTTACGCGAGAGCTTATAGCTAATTTATTTTTCAACGAAAATTTAAAAAAAATATGTCAAAAAATAGAGAATGATTCAAACTTTAATAATCTTTGAGAATTTTAAAATTTGGTTAAGCCTAGGCCTAGAAAAAATTTTTTTAAGTTTTTCCACAAAAAATTCACAGAAAAAATATTAGGGTGGATTTTTTAATGAATTCTGTGTATTTTCCGCAGACCACAGAAACAATTAAAACAGAAATCCACAGAATCGACTAAAAAAGCCACAGATCTGTGGATTTTTTTCTGTGCACAGAAAAATAATTAAAACAGAATTCTGTGGTTTTTACATGTTTTTGTATGTTTTGCAGAATCTGTGCATGTTTCCACAGATTCTGTGGATGTTTCCACAGAATCTGCGGACTCCTTTTTCCGCAGAATCTGTGGAATAATTAAAACAGGATTTCTGTGGTTCTGTGGTCTGTGCACAGACCGCAGACTGCAGAATCTGTGGACAATTAAAATAGGCCCCAGGATCCGGCCCAGGTCAATAAATCAAACCCAGGAACAGGCCCAGACTTTTCAAAAATCTCGATCTCTACTATGAAGTAGTATGTACACCTTAGTTTGAGGTTCACCTGTTTGAAAAGTTTTTTAGTCCAAAATGTGTATCTCAAAGTGAGGTCTGTCCTATTTTTTAATTGTGGTTAATCAATCTTTTTTACACATTTTTTTATTGTCTATTTCGTCCCACGGGATTTTCACGTGGAATTTTGTGTTTAATTTCAAAAAAATTTTATTTTGGCATTATTTTTTATATTTTGGCATTCTGTTTTTCGCTTGTAAAAAAGAAAGGAATGTTTGTTTTTTCATTACTAATTGGTTTCAGTTTTTTTCTGCAACATTTTTTTGTTAATTAATTTGGGTGGGGGCTAACTCAGAGGAATTCCAAATTACGGAACAACAATTCACGGAATTACAAAAATACGGAACGACCAAATCAGGGAACGACAAACTCACAGAATGACCGAAATATGGAATATTTTAAAAATCGGAATTTTTTAAAAAGAAAACTCTAAAAAAATTATAATTTTTTTAAAAACAGAATTGAAAAGGAAATTCTGAAAAAAAAGTCTGATTTCTAAAAATATTTCTATTTTCAAAATATTCCGTATTTTGGTCATTATGTGACTTGTCGTTCCGTGAGTTAGCCCGACACGATTAATCTAAACTTTTATTTATTTTTTAGAGAAGTATTTATTTAAAAAAATGGCTGATAGCAACGAGACTCGTGAACGGAAACGAGAAATAGAAGAGAAAAGGCGAAGGCTAGATGAACTTAGAGCTCTTAGAGCTGCAAACCTTTCAAGACAAAGAGTTGATGGAAGAGCTTCTTTGATGATTGACAGTTTGCTTTTTTGATAATTTTTAGAGTATTTAAACCTTTATTTCAAGCAAGAAGAGCAAAGACGATGACACCTGCAGAGTTTAGAGCAATGTTGGAAAGTGATGGAATTGAATCCAAACTTAGAGAAGAGGCTCCAAGTGATCCAAGCAGTACTAATTCGACATCTCGAGAGTGCAATGGAGGCGTTAGTTTTTTTATATTTTTGTTTTTGGTAAACGTGCCGTTTGTGTTGGCTCTTTCCTTCTCTTCAAAACTTCTCAATTTTTATTTTTTTGAGTTCAGAGACATATCCCTTTTGAATCTTGGGCTATTCTTTAAGTTATTAGTGTAAAATTAGTGGCAGTAACGTGGGTTTTCTTGATTTTTTAATAGAAACCAAAATTTGCGTCAGTACACTAAATGTTGGTCCCGAACTGGGTTTGGGCATACACGAGGGCCATATAATGGCTAAATCAAAAAACGGGCAAAAACGGCGCAAAACCCTTCCTAGAAAGGACACATTCTCTATCGAAAGAGCCCGGTCTCGACCGTTTTTAGGTCGGACGCCTTGCAACCTTTCCTTGTTAGGTTAACGAATCTTCAGTTAATAGTTTGATTCATAACGGCGAAAATGAACAAATTTGTGTAGAAGTTAAGAGTTGAATACAAACGGCAATTTAATATTCGTTTGCTTATACTAAATTCATTTTTTTATAAAGTTGCATTTGGAAAATCATATTGGAAATAATGCTTTAAATGCAAATGCTCGTGTTAAGCGTCCTCAGAATTTGTCAATAATTCCAGCTCAATCAATTTCGATTAAACAACCGAGGACAGAATGCGTAAATTTTTTTCTAAAAATTTTTTGAAATTTTCTGAAGAATTTTATCGATTTTTAAGCTCCAATATTGCAAAACTACCCAAACTGACGATGAAAAAAAATCTGATGGGGAATTTAGTATGGGCTCACAAGAATTTGCTTTTGATGATGAAGTGTCGATTGATGAAGGGGCTGGACTTCAAATTGGAAGTTTTGATGAATCTCCAACTAGAGAGATTAGGAAGCATCTTAATAATTTGCAGTTTAATAATCATGGACAACATGTTTGTTTTTTTTTTAATTTAATGTTGAATGTAGCGTTTGCGATTGCGATATTTTTCATCTTTCTTGGAAGATGAAAAATGGGCTTTCCGGCCATTTTTTAGACTTGAACCTCACGTTAAATGACCTCTTTGGATTGAAAAAATCGTTTTTAATCATGGTTTATCTTTAATAAATGATAGTATCTTTTAAGTTGTTAGACTGAAACTCATAGAACGATGTCTGTAAGGAATGGGCCTTGTTACCCAAAAACTCGAACTTTTTTAAACCCGATCCGAAGTAAATTTTTAAAATTCGATCTGAAACTCGACTACTCGACTTTTTTTCTCAACACGCCCTTTTTTCATCAATTTTTCCATTTTTACTCCATATAATTAGAAATTTGTACCTTTTAACCTCTGGCTACGGGTCTGGGCTCTTGTCCAGTTTATGCGTCCCATGAAAGTATATGCGTCCCATCAACAAAAAATGGGATATTTCTTGGTGTTGCAAAGTAGGGGTATGGTTCCAAAGCATTTGTTCATGTTCGGGATCTACGTCCACTGGGTCTGGGACCGTTCCTTACCCTATACCTCGAAATTTCTGAAAGTTATAGCCAATTTTTAAAAATTTCAGAAAAACGATTTTAACTTTCAGAAATTTTGAGGTATAGGGTAAGGAACGGTCCCAGACTCAGTGGACGTAGATCCCGAACATGAAGAAATGCTTTGGAACCATACCCCTACTTTGCAACACCAAGAAATATTCAATTTTTTGTTGATGGGACGCATATACTTTCATGGGACGCATAAACTGGACAAGAGCCCGGGTCTGTGTCTCATAATCCCCATCTGATTTTATTAAAATATTGGCCTTTTAAATATTTTTATTTATACAAAACTTTTTTTTCTAATTTTTCAGTTCAAATCTTTCAACAAAAAAGACACTACAGATGATCATACAAGCATAACATTAGCAACTTGTACAAAAATGCCTCCTTTAAGCGATGAGGAAAAACGGAAAATTTTAAGCAGTAGCGATTTTTCTCGATTCTTTTCTCAAGCATCACGAGTCATTGAAAGAGCGTTGGCTGAAGAAGTTTGTTTATTTTTTTTTTAATAATTTTAAATGGGGAAAGGCGAAAGAGTTTTTAGGGTGTTTCTGGGACCTAGTTTCATTTTGGAAGAGATTTTTACTTTTTTTATTGGGGATGTTGAAATACTTTTCAATAAATCGCGCGTCTTTTCCAATAGAAAAGTTAATGGAAAAAAGAAGGGGTAAAGATCGCAGAAGATTTTGGCTTCCCTTTTTTTGAATATTTTGCAAGGCGTAATGATTCCTAGACGTGAACATTGACAAGAGTATAACGCTGTTTTATTTACCTAACACCAAAATTGCAAATTTTTACCTGTAAGTACAGTTGGTGTTGTAGCTAAGGTGGTAGTGTGCTTGGTTTTAATACTTATAGTCTGGGGGTTCGAATCCTTTGGGTCGGGAATTACTTTTTCACCAGTATTTGATAAGTTTTTATTTTATTTATGGTTAGTTTTCTATTTTTTTTTATTTTCACAAATATATTTTAAAAATTTTTTAAGTATTTAAAATAATTTAAAAAATTTTTTTAAATTTTAGGCCGATATTTTTGTTGATTACATAAATGGAACACATGGATCTGGAACAGACGATAAAATAGATAATCGAGAAATGTTGACTTTTAATAGAAAAATTTTTGATGAAAAAACAACAGCAAATAGAGCAGTTAGAGCAATCGATTTTTCTTCAATACATGCAGAATTAATGGCTGTTTCCTATGATTTAAATAGAGAAGCGCCTCTGGCACCTGACAGTATTATTAATTTGTGGACTACGAGGTTTAAGACTTCTACTCCAGAGTAAGCGAAAATTAATTTTTTGGGGAATTTTTGTGGGGAAAATTTTTTTGAAATTTCGAAAAAATTTTTGGAATTCATTTTTGAATTTTACTACAAATTAGCTGTGCCCTTCCCCTCACGGTTTTTCCATCTTTATAGACATAATCTCGGTCCACATGCATTTCCTCGCTTAAGGAGTGGTACCCACCATGAGACTCATGTCAGCTCAATGAGTCGCTAGCTTGTAACCAGGATGGGGATCAGACGGGCGGCCCCCTTGCCCCTTCCTCCGGAAAAAATCCTTGTTACGGGCCTGCTGATTGAGACGAATCAGATGATATATAAATTGATTTCATTTTGGAGTAGGTTCTTGCCTTAACTATATCCATTCTTTTGTTAGCAGAATCGGAAATCTCAGAGGTTTTCAGTTCGATTAGAAACCTCAAAGCCTTGTTTCAATTTTTTTTTTTAATTTTATTTTTCTTTAGAGCCACATTCACCAGCTCTTCACGCGTGATGAGTTTGACATTTGACCCTTTCAAAGACAATATAATTATTGGTGGCTGCTATTCTGGACAAATATGTATATGGGATGTTCGAGTTAATAAAAAGATGCCTGTTTATAAGGTTTTTTTTCTAATTTTCCCCTGAAAATACTCCCTTAAAGACTTCCCTTTCTTCAACCGCTCATACACAACCGGTGCTTTGTATGCGTATGGTAGGCTCAACAAACGCTCATGATTTGGTTACTGTTTCAACAGACGGGCGTTTATGTTCTTGGAATATTGATAATATGCAACAACCAATTGATTCTCATAATTTAATGTGTCCAAAGACTAAAAAACAGGTTTCTTTGGATTTTTATTATATAAATAAGGTCCAAATTAGGGCATATTCAGATCGTATTTTTCCAGATGAAGACAAAAATCCTCGATTTTAAAGGGCCAAGAAGTCAAATTTCTTCCATTTTCAGCCCTCTTCATATGCTCTGAAATTGGCGTTTATAGCCAGCTATCTAACACTTAAAAGCTTACTAGAGTTAGGGGAGGTGGATTCAATATTTATTAAAAAGATAGGGGTTTTTGCATCGACTTGGTAGTGGTCAGTAGGCGCTTCTGTACACGTAGTGTAAGAACGGCTATAGCAATAACTGCCAGGAAGTCGCAGCATCAATGCCTGCCTGTGGCTATACTTTTACTTCTCTTAACTTTATATAGCACATCTAAAGATTATTTTAAGACCCACAGCTCTGAAAGAGTTTCTTTAAGCTCTAAAAACATTAGTATTTTTTAGATGTCAGCTTTGTGTATGTCATTTGCTCATGGCAGTATTAAAGATTTAGTGTTAGGGGATGAAGATAATCAGTTATATATTGTTGATAGACATATTAAAGATACTTGTAAAAGCATTCCAGGTTTTTTTTTAATTTTTAAAATTTTTTTTAATCAAATTTTTATTAATTTTTAGCTCATTCAATGCCTATTACCACAGTTGATATGCACAGAGCAAAAGGTCCAATCGACTTTTCTAGTCTCTGCTTAACTGGTTCTTTGGACTTCAGTATTAAATTGTGGGATTTGAAGGTATAAAATTTATAAAAAATTTTGGGTTTTTTTTCACAGGCCCAAATCTGCGAAAAAATTTTTTTTTAATTTTTGGGATGAAATGTCACCTATTGAAATATTTTTATTTTTTTGGATGAAATACCTATCGAAAATTTTTAAAAATTTTTTTTGGGATGAAATGTTGACTATTGAAATTTTTTTAAGTATTTTGGACCACCTTCACCTTGTCGAAAATTTTTTTTTAATTTTGGGATAAAATGTCCCCCATCGTAGCAAAAAATTCTCTATTGCAAAAAATTTTTTCTTTTAAAGGATTTATCAAAATCTGAGCCTTTATTGTGTGTGGAGCGAAAACACAAATTTTATATTACTGATGTTCAATGGTCACCAGTTCATCCAGCAGTGTTTGCCTCTCTTTCATCCGATGGAACTGTATTTTTAGAATATTTTTAATTTAAATTATTTTCTTTTCTTTTTTTAAAGCTAAATTTGTGGAATTTAAATAAAAATACTGAAAATCCGTTAACTTCATTGGATATTGGTGTGTCTACCTCAAGGTTGCATTGGTCGCGTAATGGTAAGAAAAAAAATATTTCTTTTAATTGGTATATCCCCCTTGGGAATAGAAAGAATCGTACAAGAGGTGTGCCGAAACAAATTTTAAAAGATGAAAGGGGTGAAACATCAAAAAAGCCAAAGATTCAGCGACAGAAAAAAATGCCAAAAACACTCCCTTGAATCGTGCCCTTAATAGGTGGTGCGCTTAGCAGCTCCAAGACCACAGTTGTTTCCTTAGATTTTCGATTTTTAATGGTTTTCATTTGGTTTCGTCTTGTTGGTGATTTTTCTCGATTTCTGATTTTCGAAAAAATTTTTCAAACAAAAAACGTCCTAAGTCGAGCATCCAATTTTGGAGATTATTTAAAAATTGACTTTCACATATAACAAAAAATTTTTGTTTCAGGCCAACAATTAATAATTGGGGACAGTTCTGGTTGTTTACATATTTATGATGTTAATGAAAGCCTCTATAATGTTCGTCCTGGCGAATGGGAAGATTTTGAAAGGTTTAACTTTTTAACAACCCTTTAACCTTGAATCTTTCATTTTTAAGGACAATCAAGGAGGACTTGGCTTTTAGGACAGTAAAAGAGGATTTGGCAAAAGTGGATGGTTTAGCTATGGCATCTGTTTAATTGGCGCTTTTTCGATGAAAATATCCAAAAATATTTAAATTTAAAAATTAAAAAAATACTTTACAAAAATGAAAGTAGCTCCAAACCAGATTATATATAATTAAATTAAAAGAAGTTTTACATGTTTATTGTACAAAACTAAAAGGAACTTTTTTTTGCCATTTAAATATATAACGGCTAAAAAATAAATACTTTCGATTAAAACTTTAAAGAATTCTTTTTCTGGGGAAGGGGATAAAAAAATCTCATAAAAATGCCCTGATTTTTCGAGGCTTATCGATTATAACGTCAGAAATATTTGATGAAAAATTCAAAAATTTCTGGAAGTAGTCAAGGATGTTAAAGAAATTTGAGAAAATTTTCATAGATTTAAGTGTCAGTTTTGAATCACGCGCCAAAGCCGCCCCACTCTAAAACCGACCCTAATCCATCGGGAACCCTTCTAAACCTTCCCCTAAAACCCACAAAAACCCATTATTTTCTTTATCAAACAATATTACTTTAAATAAAAAACAATATTTTTTTTAAATGATTAATAATATTTCATCAACAACACAATAACAATTTTGTCACATAACGGGTTGTCGAAAATAAGCGGGGAAAAACACACAAAACAAAAATATAATTCCAAAAAACCTTTTCCTCCCTCTTATTTAAACCTTTCTTTCTTCTTTAAAGTTTATCATAGAAATTATCAAGCGACGGGATTCCTTCCTTAAGTCCTTTACGTTTTCTCGTTTCTGCCACAACTTGTGCCGGACGCGAAGTGCTCTCGAATGGATCACCAGGCAAAATCTGCCAGTGGTCGAACACACATTGTGGGAATGCTTGCCCACCAGTATTTGAACGCAAATCAGCAGTAAAACCTTTAAAAAATGAAAGGTAAGTATTAAAAAAATTTTCTAAAAATTACCAAAAGATTCATTTACAGGCAAATGAGCCTTAACAATGAACATTGGTGTTCCGGCAATTTGACTTTCCTCAAAGACAACACCACGGCGACGGTTCAATACACCATAGATACCACCAACGGCTGCCTCTGGACATTGAATTTCAACCAAATAGACGGGCTCTTGTATTCGAGGCTACAGAATTTTTAATAAAAAACTTCGCAAATTCTAAACAAACTTTTGCAGTAAGGACGGAAGCATAAAAGACACGACGTGCCGTTGGAATGATTTGACCACCACCACGGTGAATTGCGTCAGCGTGAAGAGTCACATCGTGAATATCAAAGCGAACACCACGCATATTCTCATCACACATTACACCTTCCTTGGTTGCCCATTGGAATCCTGCTACAACCGAATCCTGAAGGTATTTTTTAGGTTAGAAAATTCATAAAGTAAGAAACCTTTATTTCGTTAAGATATTGAACTCCTTTCGTCACGTCGACCAAAAGGTTTGCTCCAGTCCCTTCAGGTCCAAAACACCAAATTTTACGAGCATCAGTCGCATCAAATTCATATTTTTCAGCAAGAATTCTTGCTCGATTTTTTGGATCGTCAGTTGGGCTGACTTCTCCACCCTCAATTGCTTCAGGTAATCCAGTAGCCATTGGTTTTGCTTTGCAGAAGAGACGGTTGTGTTTGTTTGGCGATTTTGAAAGGCACATAATATCAGATTCCTCAGTGACCGTTTCACGATATGACACAACTGGATCAGACTTTTTGATTGGAATGCAAGCGTGGTCCTCTTCCAAATCTTTTAAACAAATTTCCAAATGCAATTCTCCAGCACCAGCAATAATGTGCTCTCCAGACTCCTCAAAAATGCATTGCACCATAGGATCAGATTTAGCCAAACGTTTCAAACCTTCAACCTAAATTAAGCAAAATTTGAACTTTCAAAGTCAAATTTAAAAATAAAAACCAATTTTGGCAAATCCCCAGCATTTTTCGGTTCCACAGCAACACGCACAACAGGAGAGACAGAGAATTTCATAACACGCAAATTGTGAGCATCCTTGTAAGTTGTAATTGTTCCGCCCTTAACGAGATATTGATCAACACCAACAAGTCCAGCAATATTTCCTGCAGGGATATCTTCAATTGGTTCAATATAACGTCCCATCATGAGAATTGTACTAAAAATTAAGACGGTTTTAAAACCATAAAAACCAACAAACCGTTGAATTGTCTTTTCATAAAGGTCCTCCTTCTTGCCAACAACATAGTTTGGTCCTTGAATTCGAGCCTTCATTCCAGTTGCTACTTTTCCAGAGAAAACACGACCTACAAACATTTAAAGTTTTGTCAATATTTTTAAAATTAATACCGAAAGCATAGAAACGTCCCTTATCAGAAGTTGGTACCATTTTTGAGATATACATCATCAAAGGTCCGTTGGGATCACATGCCTTTGAAGCAATTGCTGCTTCGTCATCATGAGGTCCTTCATAGAGCATTTCCATTCGGTACTTTTGGGCAGTGACAGGTGAAGGCAAATGAATGCAAATCATCTTAAAAGTTAGAATGAGACAAATAACAATTTCATCAAGAAACCTGAAGCATAGTATCACCAGCAGGAAGCCATTTACGCATAATTGTCTTAAGAAGTGGTTTCCCTTCCAAATCCCTCTCTTCAGCCGTAAGCTTAACTCCCAACTTTTCGCAAAGTTTGGTCGTCTCCTCCTTCTTAATGTTCATCACACAATCAAAAACTTTGTAGATTGGATCCAAAACGAATTGGCAAAATCCACGCTTAGTGTCCGGTTCTTGAGTGCTGGTCCACTTCTTTGTTTTGAGGTTGAAGAAGCGATCGCCCCACAGATTCTTCATCAACTTATCGACCTTAAATGAGAAATTGAAGGCAGATATTGATAAAACAAAGCGAATTCCTGACCTGAACTCCAAACTTGTCAGCGTACATCTCAGCAAACTGTTTGAGTGTAAAAGCCCATCCATGAAGACCTGACCCAAAACCAACATTTCCAATAGAAGGATCAACTTGAATCGGTCCCATCGGCCCGTCGTCGTCTCCATATGTAGCAATAATAACGTTGATGTTCTCCACAATACGTTGGAATGTTTGGTAAAGTTCTTCTTGTCCAAGTTGTAATTCAAGAAGTGCACGGTCCATCTTGTTCATAAAAAGCACAGGCTTGATACGTTCAGCAATTGCTTGACGTAACACAGTTTCGGTTTGCACACAAACTCCTAAGAAATTGCTCTTTGTTTTAAGTTAGGATTAAAATAAGAAAACCTGAAACACAATCCACAACAACCAAAGCACCATCAGTAACACGTAAAGCAGCGGTAACTTCACTAGAGAAGTCAACGTGTCCAGGAGAATCAATAAGATTGATAAGGAAGCCGTTGTACTTCTTTGGTGCCCCATCAACTTGTTGAATTTCGCATTGATTGTCTCCCTTAACGAAATCCAAGTCTTTCATGTCAAGCTCGAAGAACATCGAAATGGCCCTTTAAAAAATCATTTAAAGATCCAAAAAGTAGAACAAACGTCGATTTGATGGTAATACAACGATCTTGTTCATCTTTGCGAGTATCAGTGAAACGCGTCTCCCCAGCTTTTGCTCCAGCAATAATTCCAGCCTTTGAAACAAGCGAATCGGTAAGCGTTGATTTTCCATGGTCGACGTGCGCAATAACAGACATGTTACGAATATTTTTACGCTTGTCCATCAAAGCACGGATTTCGTCTACCGTGAAGTTTACCTGAATTGGTGGATGAAGTTTGGACTTTAGAAGCTAAAGAACTTACCATTTTTTAAATCTTTTTTGTTGATTAAACAAAAGAATAACAAATAAATTAACCTAATTTGTAAACTGAAAAAATCAATATTAGTAATGTTTAAAAGAAAATACAAAAGATCAGTTAAGCAAAAAAGGAGGGGTGTCATTTAATAGAAGAAAGAAAGAGTTCTCATAAAACATTCTCACACGATTGTCATTTATAGTTTAAAAAATATATTTCGAAATATTTTGAAAATAAACAAATCTCATGTACCAAACATTCCATAATTTATAACCTAATAATACTAAAGTTTATAAAACCCAAATAACTTCAACTCTGAGAACCTTGTAAAGAATGCGGGTTAAAAAAGTTAAGAAACTGGAAAACTCCTACAAGATTGACGAAAACAAAATTGACAAAAAATATTAGATTAAACGTATACTTTTCCTTTGTTTGACGAATCGTATTTTACCAAAATGACAAATCGTAAAAGAAATAGTAGAGCGAGGGAGAAAAATTATCGAACTTTTAGTTTACTGTAATTTTCGTTGCGGAATTTTTTTATTTTCAAAGTTTAAGATTTTACCGCTCAATTTTCTTAAAAAAATTTTTTTGAGAAACTTGATTTTTAAATTTTTTGTTTTGTTGCTTCTATTCTTTCAATTTTAGATTTTTTTTTGAAATTTTAAATGTCAGAACTTGCTCAAGTCTTAGAGAAAACGTTTTCTGGAGGTAATTTTTAATATTTAAATTTCCTCTAAAATATGATTATTCATCATTTTAGATCCCAAGGATCAACAATATGCCCTGAACCTCTTACAACAAGCCGCTGATGGTAATTTTGTGAGTTCTTATTTTATGTCTGAGCTGAAATAAAATTGAAAAAAATTTAAGCCAGAATATGTCAGACAACTTGCGGAAGTCCTTTCTAATGTCAACAACGGTCCTTTTATTAGGAAAGCGGCCGGTCTTCAACTTAAAAACACTTTGTTCTCTAGTGGTCAAACATCTTTTGATCAGAAAAAGACCAGGTTTCCTTAATTTGTATTGATACAATTTTTATAAATTTTTCTTCTAGATGGCTTTCAACGCCTTCAGATATGCGAGATTACGTGAAGAAATGTGCTATGATGGCACTTGATACGGAAACAATAAGACCATCTACAGCAGCACAGTGCGTGGCTGCCATCGCGTGTATCGAGCTCCCTCTGAATGTATAAAAATTTTCAGGTTAATTTTAAAAATTTTTGTTTAAGCAATGGGCTGATGTGATTGACCAGTTGAGCGTTAATGTTACAAGGCCAGAAAGCTCGCCAATGTTGAGGGAAGCGTCGCTGGAAGCGTTGGGGTATATCTGTCAGGATGCTCGTGATCTTCCATATACTGGGCCGATATTAACTGCAATTGTACATGGGATGCGTGAAGAGGAGACGTCCAATACAATTCGACTAGCGGCTACAACAGCTTTGCTAAACTCGTTGGATTTTGCCAAACAAAGTTTTGAGACTGAAGTCCTTCTATTGACCCTTTACCTATAAAAAAATTAAAATTTTAGACTGAACGCAACATTATTATGCAAGTGACCTGCAATGCTACCCAGTCTACAGAAACGTCAATTAAAGTGGTTGCTCTTCAATGTTTGGTCAAAATTGTTTCTCTCTACTATCGGCACATGGAGCCTTATATGGGACGCGCTCTTTTTCAAATAACCCTTCAGGCAATGAAAGATCCGGGTTTGTGGAATGATTTTTTTGGAAATTTTTTTTTATTTTTTCAACGGGCTAAAATTTTTCTAGACCCCCTATGTAAGCTTATGGGTCTTTTGGGTAACCATTTATGTTAGAATTTTTTTGAGAAACATAAAAAATATTTGCTCTGCAGATGAGCATTCACCTTTTCAATCATATAGTTGATGAAGTCTCTCTACAAGGAATTGAATTTTGGTCAAATGTATGCGATGAAGAATTGAATTTGGCTGCTGAGGCTGAAGAGGTTTGATTTTTCTGGTTGTGATTTTTTATGATTTTTATTTTTTAAAGGCTGTCGAACAAGGCACAACGCCAGAAAATGTCTCAAAGCATTATGCTTTGGGTGCTCTTCCACATATTTTGCCTACTCTCACAGAAAAATTGGCAAAACAAGAAGCAGACTCTGAAGATGATTGGAACCCTGCAAAATCTGCAGGAATTGCTGTCATGTTGCTAGCTCAGTGTTGTGGCGATGCAATTATTGATTTGATACTTCCTTTCATTACACAACATTTTACTAATCCGGATTGGCATTATAGAGAGGCAGCAATAATGGCATTCGGTTCAATTTTGGAAGGGCCGACTAAACAAAAACTTTTGCTGTTGGTTGAACAGGCTATACAGCCGTTGATTGTTACGCTTTCGGATACTCATGTAAATGGATTTTTCTTATTTATGGAATTAGGGGCAATTATTATGAGTTTTTGTTAGGGATGAGGTTGGTGGGGGTACGTTCTGTTTGTATTTTTCTTACTAGTGTGGGAGGGGTTTTGTGCCTTTTTGGGCCAAAGTTTTTGTATCCTATTGTCTCACGTGAAGCCCGTCTTAATGCCCAAAAAGAGATGTAATGCCATCTCCCAAGATCTGATCCCCAAGATCTCCCAACATGTTGCTCCACAAATGGGGGGGTTTTGCATTTGGTTGGTTGTAATTGGGGCATTTTGGCATTACGGGATCATACCTTTTCACTTTCCTTTCAATGTTTTTTTTAAATTTCCTCAGAAAATTTTTTACATTTTAGCCAGCAATAAAAGACACTGCAGCTTGGGCAATTGGAAGAGTTTGCGATACTTGTGAAGGAATTGTAACTCGTGAACAAACTTTGAGTTTGTTGTTGCCGGCACTTTCTTCAGCTTTACAAGATCAACCTAGGGTAGCTACAAATGTTTGCTGGGTTTGCTTTTTTTTTTAATTTTTTTTTGAAAATTTTAAAATTTTTAAAGGCAATCTCAAGTCTTGTAAAGGCCGCCTATAAAGTCGCTGTCGACCAAGGAGGAGCTGTGGATGAGAAGGGTACTCCACAAACTTTCATTTTGAGTCCAGTCTTCCAAAATATGGTTACTGAGTTAATTAAGACGTCTGACAGGTTTTTTTTGTATTTTTCGGAGTTTTTTTTGATTTCCCTTCCAATTTCAGGACCGATTCCAACGAAAATAAACTTCGAATAGCTGCATATGAAGCCTTGATGGAATTAATCAAAAATAGCCCAACTGATTGTTATCCAGCCGTTCAACAAACTACAATAATTATTTTGAGCAAATTGGAGTCTTTGTTGAGTATAGAAGATGCTTTAATTTCGTCTAATGAACGTTCTCAGCTTCGTGATCTTCAATCTCAACTTTGTGCAACCCTTCAATCTGTTCTACACAAAATTCGTTGTGAGGATGCTCCTCTCATTTCTGACAGTATCATGGCGGGTCTTCTTCGGATTATGGGACGTTGTACGGGGAAAGAGAGTGAGGCTGTTGTTGAAGAAGCTTTAATGGCAATTACTGCTCTTATTGAAGGTTCTTATTTTTTAATTTATTTGATAGGGGTGATGGAATAGAAAACCATTGACGGGCATGCGTAGGAGTTGATTGTGCCATCATTTCAGTAGCTAGAATTGGTTTTGTCAACAGGGGGACGTTGTACAGGGAAAGAGAGAGTCTTTGTTGAGTATAGATATATTTTTCAGTAGCTAGAATTGGTGTGTCAACAGCTTACCAAGGGCTAGCAAAATTGCTTAATAAGCATTAAATAAATTGTTAACAGATTTCTTGTAACTAGTTTGTGAGGGTGAATGACATTATTTTACGCAATATTTAGTTTATACAATTAATACTATCTATCACTAATTCAAAAAAATTTTTTTTCTAGTGTTAAAAGACGGTTTCCAAAAATACATGCCAGACTTTAAACCTTTCCTGCTTGCCGCTTTGGAAAATCACGATGATGCACAGATTGGAATTGCTGCTGTAGGTGTTGTTTCTGACCTGTGCAGAGCTTTTGAAACAAATATTAGTGGATATATGGATGAAATTATGGAAAGAATGTTGGGGATTTTACAGGTTTTTTTGGATTTGAAATTTAAAAAAAATTTTTTTTAAAGGACGCCAACGCAAAGAAAAATGTTAAAACACAAGTTCTCAACACATTTGGTGATGTGGCATTAGCTTTGAATGCACAATATTCTCGATATTTGGATTTAAATATGAAGTGGCTTACAGAAGCAATATCTGCTGCACAAATTACAAATGCTGTAAAAAGATTTTTTTAATTTTTTTAGCGCGCCAAAATTCCGAACGTCGATATTCAAACCCCCAAGGGTCGTCTAATTCCCATCGAAAACTCAAACATATGAGTATGTTCTAATGGGACACGCCCAAGTAGGCGCGCGGCCAGGTAGGCGCAAAGCCATAACTACTTGGAAAATTTTTGGACTTTAATAATTTTGGTACCAATCTCTTTAGAGAAGAATCGTTTAATACTAAATTTTGAATGATTCGGAAATCTTGAAGCAGGTTATGTCTTTGCGCCCACTTAGACTTTACCCTGTTCCAATATAGCGGTGTTTGGTATTTCGGCGTTTTGGCATAATTTGGGCATACCAGAATTAAAAAAAAATTTTTTTTAATTTTTGTAGGATGACTTTGACCAAATTGACTATGTTGAATCTTTGAGAGAATCTTGTTGTTATGCATTTTCTGGTATAGTACAAGCATTAAATGGGTCACCAGAAAGTCTACAATTAATTCAACGAAATATTCAACCAATGCTTCAATTAATTGTTCAAATTTCAAATTCACAACCAACAACATCAGAAAATTTATATTCGAGTGCTTGTGCTTTAGCTGGTGATCTGCTTCATTCTTTTGGGGTTGAATTTTTGCCTGTTGTTGATACTGCTGAATTTGGAATTAATACTTTGGTTGCTAAATGTCGACGTTCTAGAACGAATAAAGCTAAATCTATTGCTACCTGGGTAAAGAGTTTTTTTTTGTAAAATTTTTTTTTAAATTTTGGGGTTTAAAAATGGGGGGGGGGTGATTAGGATTGGTTACAGCTTTTAGAATTAGCTTCAGAACTGGCTCGGTGAGCCGTAGCTGATTTTTAAATTCCAGGAGCTGGGGCCATAAAAAGTCCAATACCCCATACTGTTGGTAATATATACTTATTCTGTTTCATTTGTCTCAAATCATTTTATTTTTGACATAATAGAAAATGGTCAACTGAGGAAAAATTTTTTACTTGTAGCCTTTCAAAAGGCTGGTTATCCCTCCTAATTTTAGTTTTATTTGGGTTAACAGTTTTTCTAATTTTAAGATTGCCATAATAAGAAATGGTCACAAGGGCAAAATTTTGAAAATTTTTATTTTTTACTCTAACTTTTATTTTTCTAGGTCACCAGAGAAATTGCACGGGTCAAACGACAAGCGGGTAATGCTGCCGCAGCTGCAGGTCAATCATAGTTGATGAACTTTTTTTCTTCTAAAAAAATGTTTTGATGGTTTGTTTAAATTTTTTTTGATGAGTGAGGGGATGCAAGGAAAAAAAATTTTTTTTTGTGTTTTTTTGAGGACTATGGCCATTATATAAATTTATTTTTTTTTAAATTTTATTTATTTTAAATTCCAAAAAAATGAAGGATTTTATATCCTTTTTGTCTCTCTATTTTTTTAAATCTCTCCTTCCTCTGAAAAACTCCAAAAAAAATATTTTAACTAGAAAAAATATTAAAAAACTTATAATATCTATTTTTGTCTATTACAAGCAATTTTATTTTTTTCAATTTTTTTGTTGGATTGTTTTATATATTTTTAGGCAACAATCATTTGTTTTTTTTTGTTTTTTCTCTTAAAAATATGGTTCGTATTAAACGGGAAAATTTTTTTTTGATTATATTTCTTGGAAGAAATTTTTTGGATTTTGGCTTATCTTTGACCTTTGGGTTTTTTTAGAAAAAATTTTTTATTGAATTTGGGCCCGAAAAAATTTTTCAAAAAAATTTTCCGAATTTTTTGAAAAATTAGGAAAAATTTTTTAATTGTATTTTTGGTTTGAAATTTTTTTTTGGATTTTAACATTAATGTCTTTTCGGATTTTGGGTCTGAAAAAATTTCAAAAAATTTTCTAAATTCTCTGGAAAACTTTAAAAAAATTTTATGGATGGGTAGATAATTTTTGACTTTATTTATTAAATTCCAGACTTATTTTCCCCTCTAAATTCCCTCTGGTTTCTAATAAATTTTTACAAAAAATACGAACTTTTCCATATTTTCCACACTCCCCATATTTTTTTCTCAAATAAAAAAATGTTTTGATCCTCACTTTTGCTTGCACATAAAAAAAATTTTACAAATTTTGTTGCTTATACCTATTTTTTGCACAAAGAGAAAATTGTTTTATTATTATTTTATTTTATTTCAACTCCCTCCACATATACACATTTTTGTCAAAATTTTTTTTCTGTTTTGGACTTTGCCGATCTTTCATAAATAAAGATGAAATAAATTTTGAATTTTTTGTTAAATTCTATTTGTTTTTAAAAATACTTGAAATATTTCTTTTAATTTTTTTTGTTAATTCTTTTTAAATTTTTTTTTCAGTCAAATTCAGCTCAAAAAATGGATAACAATCAACCAAGTTCTTCAAAAGATCCAAATATTCAGTGGATGTATGATGGAACAAAATCTATTGTTAATCGAGAGGATTATCTTCTTGGGAAAAAGGTTTGAGATTTGTTTTTTGATAATTGTTAGGGTCCGTCTTGGTTAAAATACCTTGTCGCGTAGTATTACTGCTATCGATTTTTTCGATCAAATCGATTTTAAACGTGGTCATACTTTGTAATTCTTTAACAAAACACTCAAAGATCGTAGCGTCTATTAATGTTGAGAAATGTTGGTTGTTCAAATCATCCAACTTTCATATTGATCACTGGTTTTGGGTCGAAACAGACCGGATTCTGCCCTTGTAGCTAATTGTAAAATGCCTTTAGCCCCCTATATAAAACAGCATTTTTTAAAAACTTAATTTTTTGGGGGAGATAACTAGCAAGTTTCTAATTAATTATTTTTTAGATTGACAGAAATTTTGAATTGTATTCTGACGTTGTTGTTAAAGACAAAGACGATGAGACCCGAGACAATTTTTTTAAACAAAAACTTTTACAAAATGGCTCTGGGAATGTACACAATCAAAAAATTTCTGCGTTGGATGTTCGAACAGTTCGTAATGAGGATCCGCTTGTTGCGCTAAAGGTTTTTTTGAAATTTTGAAAAAAAAATTTTTTTGAAAAATTTTTTTAAGTTCCAAGAAGAACAACGACGTCGACAAATGTTAGAAAATCCTTTAATTAAATTAAAAGCGCAACGTATTTTGCAAAAAGAATTTGAAAAACAAATGAAAAAGGTGGAAAAGAAGAAGAAAAAACATAAAAAATCTAAAAGAAATTCTTCCTCTTCAGATGAAGAAATTTTTTCAAAACATGGAAGGGTTGATGAAAGGGAAAAACATCGACATTCGAGGGAAGAAAGAAGTAGATCGAGGAGTAGAGGAAGAGATGAAAGAAGGAGGGAAGATGCTAGAAGGGAGGAAGGTCACCATCATCACCATAGGGAGGTGTTTTCTCGTTCTTCAGGTTTTTTCTTTAAAAAAATTTTTTTGGCTGATTCTGACTTTTGGTCTTTTAGGGAACAGGCCAATTTACCGCCGAGAAAATGTTTCTTGCTTCTTGGAGGTTTTTTGCTCATAATTGTCGAATCCGGCACGCCATGGTATGGGTCGATTCAGCTTATCGAGGTGCATTAACCCATACCATGGCGTGCCGGATTTGTCAATTATGAGCGAAGTTATAGCTCGGCAGTAAATTGGAGTGTGCCCTGTTCTTTACTTTTAATAAATAATTTGGGATTCTTCTAATTAGAATATCGGGTTCAGTTATTCGGTCAAGTTCTGATATTCGAAGATTTTAGATAATCCTGCTTGTATTTTCATCAATTTTAGATGTCAATAAAACAAACGATTCGAGACGTTTTAACCATAAAGGGGAAGAAAAACCAAAAGAAAGGCTTCAATCCCGTCCAAAATTGAGTGCTGCTGAAATTGAGGAGAGGCGAAAAGCCATGTTGCAAAATGCTTCTTGGAGGTTTTTTGAATAATTTTTTTTTTTAATTTTCTCTTAATTTTTAGGGATGAAATGAGAGAAAATAATTTTAAAAAGACAATAGAGGAACTCAGAAAAGAGGAAAATGAAGCTAATAATATACCAAATTTTATAAGGTTTTTAAAATTTTTTTGGAAATTTTTTGAAAAATTTTGTTTTACAGACCAATTATGGACTCTGCCAATTCTTCATTGGAAAAACGCTTGCAGAGCAACAAAATGGGAGTTCAACGTTCACATGATCACATGGACAAATCTTTTTTGAAGAGATGAAATGAAGAGATTTTTTATTTTTTGAAGGCCTTGTCTAGTTTGTGTACATTAGAGATTGGTATTTTCAAAAATTCTGGATTTTGGTTAGTAATCTGGACAGGATTCTTGATTTGGATCCAGGAAAAATCCAGACTGGATCTGGATCCAGACCGATCTTTAATGCACACACCCAATTTATTCGCAAACTCAAATCCGTCAAAATTACCCCATTAAAGGCGGCTAAAGTTCACTCTAGGGGGTTCTCAGCACATGCCTCGTTAGAGGCGATGATTTTTATGTTAAGTGAGCAAATGACTTGGGTCTGTTTTTTTGTGAATAAATGGGGTGTTTATCTAGACTAGACAGGTTCCTTTTAATTAAGGTTTGGGCTGACAGAAATTTTTTCTAATTTTTTGAGTAAATATATATTTTTTATTTAATTATTTTTTTAAAAAATATCCGTTAATTCGGTTATATTTTTTTATATTTAAAATTTTTTTAAAGTTTTTTTCAGAATTTTTGTGCAGATATGACTGAAACTGGAGGTGGTGATTCTGTTGAATCTGTTAGTTTTTTTTTTATTTTTTTAATATTATTTAAATTATCTTAAAGGCAAGTGTTTATGCTAACTCTGTTTGTGAAATGTGCGGAAATTATGAGGTTTTTTTTGGGGGGGGGGGGGGTTGGTTATAAAAAAACCTGTGCCTTCTGATTGGAAAGCAGCGATGCCTTTTATATTTTTTGTCAAAAAATACGAGACATAAACCCAAAGATTTATTACTATAATTGTGAAGGCTTTTCCTTCTACTTTTTGTGTGATTGATTTTATTGCGTTTACGTATCCAAAAGACGAATATTTACATGCGCGATTTATTTAAATATAAAATCTATTTTCTTTTAATTATAAGAAGGGTTTATTTCAATATTCTAATGTGAGCGTCCATGGTGTAGTGGTTAGCATTGCTGCCTTCCAAGCAGTAGGCACGAGTTCGATTCTCGTTGGACGCAAAAATTTTTTTTTGAATTAAAAAAAATTTTTTTAGAAAAATTTTTAAATTTAATTGAGTTATTTTAATTATTTAAAAATTTAATTTTGTCAAGGTTCAACTTCAAACAATTCAAAGCAGTCAGGATACTCTCAGGGTTTTATTTTTGTTCACTTTTTTAAAATTTTAAATAATTTTAAGGAGAAATTGGCAGCTGCTAAAGGTTTCTTTTTGTTGTTTTCTAGTAAAATTTTAATTAAATTTTGTTAGAATTGTATGAGAAATATGGCAAAGAATTGACAGAAGAGAGGCATTATCGAAAAGAATTGGAAATTAAATTTGCTGCTTTAAATGAAGAAACTGAAGGGAAAATTCAGGTTTAGTTTTAATTGGTATTTCCTGAGGGTTTAGATTTTAGAGAAGGAATTTCTGAGATAAAATTCAAAAATTATTTTACTGAACAAGTTTTTTTGTTGTTTGGAGACTTCAAATAAAATTCCAATTTCTAAAATCTTTTCGCTTTTTTGCTGATACTTTATGGCTGGTCAGGGTGTCCCTTTTACCTCTCTAGAGGCATTTTCCCCTTTTTGCTTCATTTTTATCGATTTCGCCCCATTTTTGACCCTTTTTTGAGGGGCCATGCCCTTTTTTTGGTGATTTTGAAAGGGACACCTTGTGGCTGATATTATAAACATGTTTAACACACTTCGCAGGGATATATTAAATTCCTAGACATGATTCTTGAGAATTTTATTGTAGGGGGTTCTGTCTTTGTTTTGTTTCTTGAAAAAATTTTGCGCCTGAATAAGCTTTAGATTTAATTTCCTTTTTCTTATTTTTGCAGCAATGTATTACCAACACAGAAGACTTTGAACAACGCATTGTCCTTCTCAGTAAGAAACAAGAAGCTGATTTGTCTGTTTTGGAATCACAATTAGAATTGGCTAGGAATCGTCAAAAAGAACTTCAAGAACAATTGGTTTTGTTAAATGAAAGGTTTTCTTTTTTAATTTTTTAAATTATTTCAAAAAATTATTTCCTTTTAAGGTATGAAAAACTTTTACATTTAAAATCTCAATGTGCTGAAGAAATGCGTGAACAACAAATTGAACTGCCTCAAACAGTTGAAGAACTTCAATTTTTGGCATTGCAGTTGAGAGAGGAATTGGTTAATTAAAAAAATTTTTTTAATTTTTGGCTCTTGTCCAGTTTAACCGTCTCATTTATTAAAATTTGGTTTTGGTTCCTTAACGTTTTCTGGGTCATTTAATCTGGAACGTTGCTTTTAAATTCATCATAAATATTGAGAAGTTATGCTGAGGTTTCTTTTTTTGGAGGGGAGGGGTCTGTTCTTAAGTCATCTTTAGCTTACTCTTTAATTTTGGGAAATTATAATGGGGTTTATAGAATCCCTAAAGATTTTAGAAGATTTTTTTAGAAATCTAAAATCACTAAAAATCAACTAGCTAGCCAAAATTATTTTTGGATAAACTAAAAGATGTTCGAAATTTGGGTCCTTCCCCAGTTTGGACCTTAACTCAAAAAACATTAGAAACTCTAGCCCAGCATTCAAACCCAAAGACGTAACACATAATCTGGACAAGACCCTTTTATTTCCCTCTCGTTTAGATAACTGAACGTGCTGCGCGTGAGCATGAAAGGAGGGAATTAAATGATGAATTGGCTATGGCACGTCAACAACTTGTTGAATTGGAAATTTGTCCAAGAGAAAATGAAGAATGAATTTCGATATATATAAAAATATATTTATTTTGCTCAAATAGTTTTTATAAATTTTAAGAGCTGATAGAAGAAACTAGTTTGTAATTTTTGAAGAATATGCTTTTTAAGGTCTGCAGACCGTGAAAATGGTTTTTTTTCTAATAAATGCGCTTTTCCGAGAGGACAAAGCTTTGGTGCATGTATTAGCTCTAGCTTTTCCACAGTTATCCATTCAGATAATTAAGATAAAGTAAATCATGGCTATTGTAATGAGCCGTTCGCGGTTTCTCGTTAAAACGATTAAACTCACAAATCTATCTAAATTCACTCACCGCTCTCAACTGGCAGCGCTGAACTGACCTTACTCATATTTTAAATTTTTTTCTCTGACTAAACTATTTCTTTTTTATTTTTCTCTAACTCGTGAGATAAATAGTCATTTTATTTAAAGTTTTGCATTATGCCAAATTTCGCGAATTTTAAAATTACAACTCAAAATTTTCTTTTTTCACTGACCAAGCTATTTTTCATCTTTTTCTCGACTTAATAAACAAATATAGAAACTCCAAAACCAAAAAAATTAATATATTTACTCCAACTCTTTTTATAAGGCATTTATTATGAGCATATTTTAATTGTGGGGAATGGGACACAAAATGCATGTGAACAGACTAGTTTTTTGTTTGTGAGTAATCGGGAGAACCTAGGAAAAAATTAATTTATATTAGCAGGATTTGGGAAGAAAAAAATGCGTTTTCCTAAGAGACGAAAATATTTAAAAATATATTTCTGTGGGAGAAAAATTGTCAACATATTTTGCCTATACCACATTTTGCCAATAAGGCTAAAATAGACATTTTGTCAATAAATTTATGGGCAAAATGTAGATTTTAGCCTTATTGGCAAAATGTCGTATAGGCAAAATATGGAGAAGCCGAATAAATTTTTGGGATGTGAAATAGCGTGAAGAAAAAAGAGAGGAAGGAGGGAGGGACTTTAAGGGGAGAGGAATTTGGAGGGAGACAATTACAAGAAGAATTTTCAAATTCCAATTTTCTTCAAAAAAAAACAATTTTTTGTTGATTGCAGTTCTTCATTTGTCTGTTGTTTGTTGTTTTTAAAAGTTTGACCACATTGGTTTCCTTATCCAACGCAACCGAAGTCCAGCTAAAATTTTTAAATATTTTCAAATTTAAAATCAACAAACTATTTGTTCGAATTTTAATTGAAGCTGCTTCAGCAGCACGTACTGTATCTTTAACCGACTGCATTAAATTTTGGGCGTTTAAGACTAGTTGCTCCATAGCTTCTTCATCTTCTTCTGTTCCTTAAATTATTTTAAAATTAGAAAGGAAAGTAAAAAACAGTATCGGAACTCATTTTAAGATCTCTTTGGAACTGAAAAGATCCCCTAAATGAGAGGTACTTTAAATTTAGGATATCGCTTAGGAGGAGATCTCTTACGAGGCTCTTCCACCTCTAATGGCTACATTTAAATCGAGTAGTATTGGATTTCTCTTATAATGAGGTTCGAGACTGTTTTTTCCAATAATTTTCACTCGAAATTAATTTTTTAAAAATCACAGCATTAATGTTAAGGAAAAAAAAAGTAATTTTTTAAACAGCAAATACAACCCAAAAAATTATTTTTTTACCATCGACAGGTTCTCCATATGGCCCAATTGTAACTAATATAGGTATTTAAATTTTTGAATTTTTTAAAAATATTTTTCTATATAAAAAACTGAAAAAAATTTACTTTGAGAACCAAGCATTGTTGCCTTGACTGTCGCCAACTTTAAAAAAAAATAAAAATTATTAAAAAAAATTAAAAACAAACAATTTTAAGTTGAGTAGCAATTGTTGGAATTCTCTCAGCAATTTGAAGCAATGTCTAAAATTTTTTTTAATTAAAAATTAAATTTAATCTCCCCTATCTCCCCTATTTTAGAGAAAACTTAAAAAGCTTTTTTTCTAGCCATCTCTTATAATTTTCTATCGTTCCAAGCAGAGGTCGATCGGAAATGGCGAAGGTGCCGGAAATCGGAACTGTCGGAAATAGGAAATCAGCCTAAATTTTCGGAAATCGGAATTCCGATCGACCTCTGGTTCCAAGAGGATTGTATTGAACCTGTAAGAAAATATTTCGTAAATATCGATCTCACCGTTCTCATTTTAATATCCGTACATTGCCTAGCCAATTGTACAGCTAAACGTGTAACTTCTTCACTAGAATCAGCAATAGCTTTAGCACAATCAATCAAATCTTTTTTTGTTCCACCTTCACCTCTAACTAATTGTGATAGTCGAGCCATTAAAATAGCCATTCTTTTAGCAGCAGCAACAATATCATTTTCATGTGATGACCATTGACGTAATTCTTGATGTAAATTATGTGCTGCACTTAATATTGGTTGATATTGAGCAGCTGGTAAATGATAACGTTCCCAAAAGGCACGAGTTTCTTCTTCTTCGTCTAATTCTGGTGGTGGTGGAGGTCTGGAAAATTTGAAAATTTTTGAAATATTATGGCACCGATTTGAAGCTATTAAAGTAGTCGAAGTGCCTAATAATGAACGTTCTTAAATTGAGGTGTACCCAATATCGGAAGTATTTTAAATAGAGGGGTGCCCAATAATGGGTGTAGCTTTAATCGAAGTGCCTAATAATGAACGTTCTTAAATTGAGGTGTACCCAATATCGGAAGTATTTTAAATAGAGGGGTGCCCAATAATGGGTGTAGCTTTAATCGAAGTGCCTAATAATGAGCGTTGATAAATCTAGGTGTGTCTAATGAAGGGTGTATTCAACCGTAATAGAATATTTTTAAATTATTTCACCTTGGTGCCGGACTAATCTCAACAGGAGGTGGTGGACGTGGCGGAGCAGGAACTTCCTCACGAACAATTAACCTGTTATGAACTATTGGTTCGCCTGGTGCACGCATTGGACTTTCATAAACCTTAAAAGGAAATTTCTTTTCTCTTTTATTCCCTCATAAATACTCTCACATTATGCTCACTAGGCCATTGTGGTGGAGGCTTTTGTTGTTGTTGTTGCTGGTGATAAGTTGAATTTAATGGTGCAGTAGTATGTGATGGAGGTGGAGCCTTAAAAAATAAAGATTTGAAAATTGAAAAAATCCTCAAATCGTTCCTAGTTAACCCAAGTAAAAAAAAGGTTTATGAAAAAAGGAGAATCAGAGAGGTATTCTACATAATAGCGATTCCACAAGTTACCCGAAATCCAGACATTTTTCAACCCAAAACCGACATAAAAACATCACAGATCCCACGATATCTTAGCCAAATATTTTAATCTCCTGACACCCTTATTAATCCCCCGAATCCGCTGATATATTTATTGATCCCTTAAACCGATAAGACTTGAAACCCGCACTTTTTTCGACCGGAAACTCGATCCGACCTCAAACTATGAGATTCCTGGATCCTAATATAGTTATGGCTGGTCTTGTGTGAATGAATGAAAAAATCGTTTATCTATGAGAAATCCCTCAAATGATCATTCAAATTAAAATAAAACTATCTTGAGCAAGGAATACATAACATTTTGTAGTCATCAGGGTCGAACCGTATGTTAAAAATAATTTCTAAGAGTTAATCCTTCCCCAAAAAATTTAAAAATAAAACAAACATGAACATTATTTTCGAATCGTGGAGGCGCATATTGTTGTTGTGGTGTAGCTCTACGTGAAGGCAATCCAGTAATTGCATCCCCAACACCACGAACCGAATCTAATAAATGATCGTTAGTGTCACGCCAACGGGAAGCACTAGCTTGATCACGAGGATTAATAGCTACTTGTTTAGCTTGGTTAACCATTGGTGGGATTGCTGAAAAATAAAAAATAAATTTAAAAATAATTAGAAAATCAAAACTATGAAATGAGTATTCGATAAATACAAGGGATTAAAAAATCGCGTGTTGAGAATAATTTGTAAATCGAAGGAATGAGTAATGAAAATAATTTAAAGAGGAAAAAACGCGAAAATAAGAAAATAGCCAAAAACGCGCGAACGAAAAAAAACGTTTAAACTTACAAAATCAAAAATAATTAAAGAATACTTAAATTTTCAAAGATTCAAACTTATTATCACTCGGTTGGACGCCAGACAACTTCGATATAACCTTTAACTTTTTTTAGCCTTGATCCAATTTGAATAAATCTTATATTGACCAGAATTTATCCATCCCGTTAGAAAACAGAATAACTTATCGAGAGCATTCAAATAAAAAAAAATTTATTCATATTGAATCAAAACCAAAGAAGAATTATAGTTTATCAAAGTTGGCTGACGCTCACAAGTTGACACGCTCGTTATCAACTACCTAAAAAATTCAAAAAAATTAAAACTAAAACTACTATACTAAAAACTAATTTTTAAATAAAAAATACTATTTTCGCATTTCTGCATTGATTCGCGAAAATATAATCGAAAATAAAAATTCCAAAAAAATAAAAAAAAACCTGAATGCAAAGTCGAAGCAGCATCATTAACTCTTCGAACAAATTGCGGATCTTCAGAATTATCAGCTTCATTTTTTGCTGACATTAATACACGATTACCGAGACGGGCTATTTGACCTTTTATTAAAAAAATTATTAAAAAAAATTTTTAAAAAATTCCAAACTTGTATTATCCACCATTTTTTGTGGGGCATTTGTAGATATAGCATCCTCACATTTATTTGTATATCGTCTCATTGCCCCTTCACTTGCTTTAACAAATTCTCCTGTATCTATAGCATCGTCAACGTAAGCACGAAGACGATTTAATGCATCGGCGTATTCTTTACGCAAATTTTCAAAGTGCCGGTCAGCATTTTCTGTGCTATTGTGTAAACGAATCTTTCCAGCACTGATTATTTGAGGTGTCATTTGGTTGACCTTAAAAAAAATTAAAAATAGTCGATTATAAAGAGATAAGGCTTGAGATAGAGTAAAATTTATTGGAAAATTATTTGGTTGGGGGTTGGGTCTCGAATGGTTGAGGTTTTCGAATTGGGCCTAAGTTCGAGTTTTCGGGCCTCATTTTTATCGAACCGGGCCGTTCGATTCTTTTTAGGGCCAAAATTCGATGTTCGATTCGATATATCGAACCGAACTGGGCCCCCAATCCTAGTTTAGGATGAAAAAAAGACCCAAGCCTTCCAATTTATGAAAGCTTCAATATGAAATTAAAGGTCAAAACGTGGATATTGCAAACCAAATTCTAAAAAGCAAAGAAAGGAATTAAGCTGAAGGTGAAGGCAACATCCCCTGTTGCTTCCCTTAAAGTAAAATCTATCGAAGAAACAATATCCCTAATTTTGTTTAAAATTTTCTAGGGGAAAACACTGTGAAATAACCCTAGACCCAAAAAATAAGTAAACAAGAAACCCCAAAAAACCCTAGACCCAAAAACTAATTTGTTCCAAAATTAATTAATTAACGACTAGCTTTATTTTTATTTAAAATTACCCTTCCCAAACCTTATTAGAAGCATCAATCAACCCTTCAACAGTCTTCTTGTTTTTACAAGGTCCACATTTTGCCACTAATAATCCTGTATTTGCCATTCTACCACTACAATCTTTCAAATTGGATGCTTTACTTTCAAAGTTTTCTTCTCTGTAAGGTTGATCCATACTAAAAACACATCATTTTTAATTAATAAAAAATTAAAAAAATTTCATACGGAGCATAAACAGCTTCAACAAAAGCTTTTAATGGTGTTGTAATATCTGCAAAATCTTCCACAACTTTATCAGTCAATACGCGTTTCATTAAATCGCCCAATTCACGAAGTTTTTCACGCAATTGTTGACGAAGATTGTTAGCTTCTGGAGTATTGCCTAGACCACGACGTTCCAAATCTTTAAAAAAATTTCAATTTAAAAACGAGTAAGAGAAAAAAGTCTAGCCCAGAACAGGCATCATGCAACCTCATGCAGGTTAATGCAAGGTCTTCGCTCGCACGTACAGCAGAACTATCCAAACCTCTTGGACTTGACTCAAGAAACTTTTTTGAGGTTTTTTAAGTCTTGGTCTAGAAGGCAGAGGTCGCGGGTCTTGGCTCCAACGTATAGAATGCTCTTCGCCTTACTTTTTTAATCAATCTTAAACCCACGCCTAGTAAGCCTTCTAGCCAGTTGGATCCCCCTTCTTCCTTACAAGAAAAACAAAAAAATTTAACCAGATAATTGATTGGACATTTTATCCACATCAGCGCAAACATTGAGAAGACGATCACGGTCAACTGGAGGAAGTTTATTTGCAAGTCGGCGTGCTTCATCGAGTAAACTTCGAATCTTTAACGGGAAAATTAGTCAAAAAAACAACAAAAAAATTTTCCTAACCGCTTGTAGACCAGCTCCACCATCATTAATTCCAGGATTATCAAGCCAACGTTGTGCCTGTTCCAATTTTCCTCCTGTTGTGTGGGCTGGATGTGTGTCTGTACGTTGGGCACCAAAGACTGCATGAGGCAACATTCCTTGACTTTCTTTTGTTCCAACCAAATCACGCAATTTTTGAGCACAGCTTTGGGCATATGACTTAAATTTTTTTAAGAAAAATTCAAAGTAAATTTCAAAAAAAATACTTGGTTGTCTCGTCCTTGATGTCGCAATTCACAAATTGAATCGGTAAGATTAGTTATTTCTTTGACTAATTGGCGAATAGTAAATTGATCTTCTGGGAGAGAACGAGCAGCAATTTTTTCTTAAAAAATAAAATTTTTTGGATAATTTTCTATAAATTATGATGCTTTTGGGTTATCCCTACAGGCTTTTTGTGCACTTTTTTTTCTTATTTTAGGGGGATACATTTTTTCATCATCATTCCCCTGCCTATACCAGTGTTAATATTAATGCATAATTCGAATAACATAAATTTTGTCCAGATTTTCAAGTATTTGACCGGTTCGAGCTCTATATTTTTTAAAACTATCTAGAGCCTCAAATCTCTGCCTAAAGTTACAGGCATGATTTTGGGGTTATTAGACTCATGTCAGTTCGTCGAGCTTTTTTGAATGGTTTAGATATTTTTTCATTATTCCTGGTAAGTAAACTTTTTCCTGTAGGAATGGGAACAGTACCAAAAATATTTTCCTATAAAGATTAAAAAAAATTCAAAACCTGCATATTCACAAATACGTCTAATAGCCTTTTCTCCAACAGCGCCAGGACGTCCATTGGGATCACTTAACCATTCACAGGCAGCAGATAACAAAGATTGGGCTGCTGAAAGTGCCTTCCTCATTACTGTAACATTGTCCTGGTCCCATTCATCTTCATCATAAGCTGTCAATTGAAGAACTCGAATAATTTCATTAACTTCATCAGTCATTCGTTGTCCAAGATAATTACGGTTGCTGGCGGCTTCTCCAAGTCCTTTTTGACTTTCTTCGCTTATTTGAATGTAAATCTGAAGAAAAATAATTTTTTTGAATTAAAAAAAAAGTCAAAACAAAAAATAAAGTCAATAAAATCACATATAAAAAGTTGGAAACCAAAAGGAATCGAACCCTACTGCCCCCACAAAGAAAAGTCCCAAACACTACCAACTAAACCACAAGTCACAATAATAAAAACATCAATTTTATCAACTAAACCTTATTTAAATATTTAAATTCTTCTTAAAAATAGAAGGGGCGCAACTTTGACAAGTTCTCAACTCCCAAAAATTTCTTTAAAATAATTTTCTAACCTTCATTGCACATATCAAAATTGGTGAAAGAATTTTAACAGAATCAGTGCATCGAACCAGAATTTCTCTGTGTACTTGGTGTGTTAATTCAGCTGAACGTGCATCAACATCTTTAGCCATTCGAGTAAGCCACGGGGTTATATCCTTAATTTTAAAAAATTTTTATAAAATTTCTAAGAATAAAAAATAAGAATCCATAAAAGGAATAAAAAAAATAAATTTAAAAAAAATTTCTAATAAATTTTCTGACCATTTTGTAACCTGACCATTTTATAACTTATTCACCTACCTTTACAAATTGATTCAAATCGTCCATAGATTCGATTACTTCTGCAACAGCCAGATAATCCAGAACTTTTCGGCAAATACGAACAATTTTTCGGACTTCGGATTCATCAAAACAAAGCAAAAGTTGAGAAGTTCCTGTAGAAATTGTTTTAAAATAAATTTTAAAAGTCACCAAAAAACCTTGTAAAATCCCTCTAGCTCCATCAATCAATTTTTTACGTGCTGCACTTGAATATGGATCAGACTGGAAATTTTGTTGAAATTTTAGAAAAATTTTAGAAAAAATTTTTAAGAAACCTTAAGTAAATAACAAGCTTCCTCTAAAAGTCTAGAACTAACTTCCACACCTAAAAAATTAAAAACAATTTTTTTTTAATTTTGTAAAAATTAAAATTAACGTTGTAATGCGGGAGGCATTTCCTGTTTGAGAATTTTGTCATCTGATGAATTACAGGTTTCATAGCCAACCTAAAAAGGATTCATTATTTAATTTTTTCCTTTAGAAACACAAAAGTCCGCAGATTGGGGAAAAAATTTTTTTTCAAGAATTGCGGACAAAAATAATTTTTTGCAGACAGAATTTGCGGACAAAAATTTTTCTGAAATTGCGGACACCTTTTGCGGACTTTTGCTAGCATAAAGGTGGGGCCCCTACAAAACGAAAATTTCCAAACGAACCTTTATTAAATTATCAACAGCTCTAGATACTGCACTAACAGGTTTTGTCAAGTCAGGCATAGCACTTCCATCTTCAGCTTCCTCATGGAGAATGACCAATCGAGAAACCTAAAATTTTTTAAAAATTATTTTTGAGAATCCGTCATTAAAAATCATTTTTTAAAGCGGCTTACATGTTAATTAATCAATGTGTGTGTAATCAATAAAAGCAAGCACACAAAGCATGTTAAAGATTTGTTAGAGAACGGTAAGGAAATAAATCCTGTAAGATAGTTAGGTAAACAAAAGCTTTATTAAATCATCAACAACTTTCAAAGGATCTCTCAACAAATGGGCAACCGGAAAAAATGGAGGAAAATGAAAGGAACAATTTTAAAAAATTAAAAAATCGGGAGAGAGTTGATCATTCGAGAGAATTAACATTTAGAGTTCGGACCGAGACGAGATCACGAGCAAAAATCTATAGTGAATAAATTCGGAATAATAAAAAGGGCCCTTGGGGCTAAAAAAGAACTTGTCGAGCTGAAATAAATGCCCCACTAAGACTTTGAATGGTGCGAACCTGAAAATCCAAAGCCATGAAGGACCTAACTGACTTCTTGTTGAACGATCTCTAATAGTGTTTCACCGGACCCGATATCTTCACCAGAACCGGATCCATTTTGAATTCCGGATCCCGGAACCTCAACCAAAAAACGTCGGGACTTTCCAGAACTGGAACCACTGTGATCTCTATCCTCGCACGACAATCTTAGTCCGATCTCTAATCAACATTTTAATTAAAAAATAAAGGGAAACAAAAAAACACACAAAAAAAAGCCAAACAAAAAACGTACAGGTCCGCCTTTAGGCAAAAGCATTTTACAAACAGCACAATCAGAAGACGGAGACATTGTTAGAGGTACTGAATACCTTGAAGAACTCTGAGATAAAGGGCTTTGTTCTCCCCCACCATCCCTCCAATATGGAGCAGCACCAAAACAACGTTTTGTGCCAGATGAGGTAGAGGCTACATCTTCCCCTCCTCCAATTACTCCATTTTGTTGGTGAAAGGAAGAGGAAGAAGATGAGGGACGGCAATGCTGATGGGCCAATGAAAGCGCTAGATGTAGCTAAAAATTAGTTTAAAAAACGTAAAAATTAAAAACGAGTACAAAAAATATTAACGATTACAGTAAGACAAAAAATTAAATTTAAAGCAGAAAAATACATTTTGCCAAAAATAAAATTGAAAAAATATCTATCAAATTTTTAGGAAACCCCTGGGTTCTTAGAATTTTTAGAAACACTTAAAAATTCATAAAAAAGAGTCCCAACATAAAATGGTAAAAATAAACAAGAAAAAAAGGCAAATGCAAAAAAGCCGAAAAATAGCGATAATTAAATAGGCAGAGAATTTTGAATTTCGTTGTTCCCCCCCCCCCCTTTTTTTTCAAGTTCCATAATTTTCTCTTTATAACTATGGAAAACTTCAATGTTCACATTTAAACAGTGGAAATATGTATAGTGATAATTGAGGAAGAAAATCTTGACCATTAATGCAACTTGATGAAGGAAAAAGGGGGAGCAACCAAATTCAAAATTACCTAATAAGCTTTTTCATTAAAAAAAAAGAGCAAAAAATATTTTTTCCCCAACCTGTTGAGCTACCGGCTCTAAAATTGACTCAATAACTTTTGTATGGAATACTGGCATTTTTAATGGTTGTTGTTAATTTTTTTAAATTGTTGTCTTTCCTAATTTTTCTAATTAAAAATTGATGAAAAGAAGAGATAAAAAATAATAAAATGGCAGTTAATAAAAATAAATTTTTTTTTGTGTTTTTATTTAAGAAATGATGACCAATTGGTGTCGAAAAAAAATAAAGAGAAAATATTTGTGTAGTTATCTATTAATATGGCTATTGTTTTTTTTTTATTTACCTAATAATTGCACCTTAAAAAAGGAAAATATTAATTGAAAAGATAAAATGATAAAAGTCAAAACTAAGAAAATAAATAAGTAGACAATATACATATTAAACAATCAAATTGTTAATAAAATTCATATAATTAAAAAAATTTTCTAGTTGTGGATTTTACTTTAAAAATTGATTTTTTAAAGTCGAGATTAAGGTTCTCTATTTAAATCAGGGCTCGGATTCGTACTTTTTTGAAAGTATGTACTTTTTTATCAACATTTTTGAAAAAAACGAAGAAATCTGGCTTAAGGACCTCCAAAATTCTCAAAATTTTCGCCTGCGGCGCAAAAAATGGAAGAAATCTGGCTTAAGGACCCCCAAAATTCTCAAAATTTTCGCCTGCGGCGCAAAAAATGGAGGTTAATACTGTCAGTGCTTCACTACTTGTGTCAGCGAATTTTGACATATCATGCATTGAAATGCACAAAATGCTCAGTGGAAACAAGAAATTATTAGAAAAGATTCATTTAGGAGGGAAATATGAAAAATTTGAGGACGAATAAATATTTCATAATTTAATTTGGAGTGTACTTTTTATTTGCAAATTTTCTCCCTATGTACTTTTTAATCAAGATTTTTGTACTTATGATTGCCATTTTGTCGATCCGAGCCCTGATTTAAATAATTAATTAAATTTTTATATGAATAAAGAATTTAAAAAAGTATTCCACCCGTCAAAATGTTTTTGGTAGAGTATGGGAGATTATTGAAATTAGAAAAAAGAACAACAGTCTAGTTTATGAGTCCAATTACAAAAAATTTACAAAAAATACCCCTAAAGATAACAACCCTTAATTAGACTCATAGACTAGCCGGACTACTTTCAATACTCTAATAAAATTTTCCGGATATCCGAAGATTTCCCAGGAATTGTCAACCTATTCTACTTTTAAAAAATGTAAAGATTAAACTAAAAAGGTTTAAGTAAAAAAATTTAGAAAGATCAAAAACTCTCCCTGACCGTGTCATCAATTTATTCGGTCAGGGTTTGATAGGTGTGTGTTGTGTGTGTTTTTTAAAAGAATTCTGAGGATTCCTCTAAATCAACTAAAAGACGTATTGGAAGGAAAGCTGTGAGGGGTTATTACGTCCGCTAATTTTTTTTTAAAAAGGTGGCATGTGTGCCAAAAGGGGTAAAAAGGGGCAAATAGGGCAATAATTTTTTTAGGTAAAGTATTAAGCTAGAAAAAAACCCCCAAAGCGAGCGGCCGTCATTATAATAGTAACAAACACAAAACATTGATTTTGCGGGGGCATTTAGTTAGGGAATAAAAATAGCGGAAAAGAAGAAAGGAAAATTGGAAGGAATATATAAAAGGATGAGCGATAAAAATATTTTTTTAGGGGGAAGAAGAAGTAGAAGAAGAATCGTTGTTGGGGGAAGGATAGCTGGTTGATGATGATGGCAGTTGGAAAAGAGAATAAAGGGTATGTTTAAACACTTAAATCACGTTGTGAAAAGAAAAGCGGACAGAACAAATGGGATAAATCAAAGATACCCATGAGATCAAAGACCCTATAGGTCAATGATGGCAGATGGAAGAGAAGGTTAATTTATAAATAGTATTAATAATAGGACTTGATCAATTATGATCTTAAAGTCAGGTCAGTTGCAAGATTCCTTGTGTTGATATATCTAAGGGATCTGAAAGAAAGTAAAGGGAGCTCAGACCAGACGAGAGATAGGACCAGATCGCAGATAAAATCTTTTGCCTTATTTGGGAGGCATTTCCCCCCTTTTTGAGAGCCCACGCCCCCTTATGCTGATTTGTAAAGGGCTGGACCAGATGGCAGATAAGTTCAGACCCCTATCTGTTTGAAACTTTCAGTCCGGTCTCTAAAACCATAAACCAACGCCCACAGATCATAGGTTTAAAGGGCTGTTGATCAACTCTTACTGTGTCGGTCCGGTCTATAGATATGGCCTCAAGTCCGACCTCTACTAAAACTATAAAAACCCACAAATCACAGATTCCACAAGGGTGCGCTGATCAACCCTTGATCAATCAATTTCAATTGATCAACTGTAAAAAAAGTACGTTGATCAACTCTTACCTTGTGTTGATCAATTAAGAGTTGATCCTTTGAAGTTACTTTGGAATGAAAAAAGAAAGATTGTTTGTTAGATATATTTAAGTGTTTAAAATAAGCGATTGATGTGATTGAATGAGAGTAAAAAAGAGATTTTTCTTTTACTTCCACCCCAGTGTGCCAATACAAAGTTATATATATTGAAAGTAGTTGAAAGACGGAAAAATTCTAAAGGAAAAGCCTAACAGAAAAAAACAGTCATTTTACCTTTTTTCCCTCATTTTTCTTTCTTTTTTTTACATTTTCATCCGCCCACCTTGTCCTAGAATCTCTTTAACTCTTTTTAAAAAATATCGACACTCATAATGCTTTTATTTATTTTTTTTCTCTCAAAGCAGAAAAATTGAGGGAAAAATTTAGGGAAACTGAGGGAAGGAGAAGTAAAAATTGTAAAATGATTTGAAGAAAGAAATATTTTAGAGTTAAAAAAGATTAAAAAAAAAGTGGATCAATGAATTTTTAAGAAAGATAAAAGAAGAAAAATTTTTTGTCAAGATATCTGTCAGGATATTCCTTTAAAAATTTTTATTAGAGAGATAAAAGAATGTAAAGAATTTAAAAGAGATCACTTTTGTTTTGTGTAATTTTTACTACATATAAAATGTTCTTTAATTTGATTTTTTGACATTTTTAAATGGCTTGTAATTGATGGATTTAAAAAAATTTGTCAAAGGAATTTTAAAAATTAAAAAATAATATTTAAGTAAGAAGGTAAAGTTAAAGATATCCTTAAAGATCATGAATAGAAAAATGAGGATTCGAGAGTTTTCCCTGCTCAAGTTCATGGGTCCAATAAAAATTGCCTAATAAACTACATAGACCGAAGCCTTAAAGATTTTCAAATAACATAAAATAAAGCGGCCGAACCCCCAAATATTAGATCAAAATATAAAATTAATGAAAATGAATTAATAAAAATAAAATTAGGAGAAAGAATGGAAAACATCAAATCAACCAAAATAGCCCCTCTCAAAGAAGATGCTTTCCACCTTTATTTTTAAAGTCAATTGTCGAAAACAAAGGTAATATTATTGTTGTTGTTAATAGCCCAAATCCCCTTTTAACAATTATTTCTTTAGCAAAAGAATTTTACTAAGCTAATATGATAAATCAAATAAAAGGGTCAAATAAATGAATAGGAGAGAATCTATTTAGTTAAACCTTTAAAAATAAAAATAGAGAAAAATAAAATGGACAAAAGTAAAAATAGGTAGTTAAAAATAATAGAAAAAATAATTTTTTTATTTATATAAAAAAAATAAAAAGAATTACTCACTCCCCTTGTGAAAAATAAAAAAAATAACATTTTAAAAATCAAATATTATTTTTGAAAAATGATTCATATAGTTAAATTATACTAGCCCAATCAAAGGATAAGTATTAGCCCCTTTTTGGATCGATGACCACCAGAAAATAAAAATCAGACCTCACTTTAAGATACTCAACAGGAGGGATTAGGGTTGTCAGTTCCTGGAAATGCTTCGGATATCCGAAACCGACCCGAAAAATCCTTGGTTCCTCAATTCAGTCCAGAACCGACAACCCTAGGAGGGATAGCCCTCTCATCAGAATCGTGCATACACAGTGGACGCATGTATCTTGAAGTGAGGTCCGACTGTATTTTAAATAATTTTAAATCTACCTTAACAAGCCAATTGAAGAAAATTACAATCCATCGATTCTCAAAAATTCATCCAGTCCTTGATCATTTTTTTTATTTTCTCTAGCCTCTGACACATCTATAAGTTTTTAGCTTGTCTCCATTAAATTTTAATATAAATTCCTTTAGATATCCAAAAGCTTTTAAAAACCTCTAGGAAAATCAAAAAAATCTTTTTTTTTTAATTTTTACTCCGAAAAAAGCACATAACATTTTTCAAAGACTAGGGGGGGGGCAAAAAATAATAGATGATTATGAAGTTAGAAAAAAATAATGCCAAAAGAGAAAATATAATCGAGAATTAAAACACACACACAAAAACATATGAGATATTAATTTTTTTAATTATATGATTTGTAAACCTAAATATTCTACAAAAAATAAAGCTTTTTTAATGAGAGGTTTTTTAGTATGTCTAATATTTTTTAGAAAATATTCTTTCTAAAAAAGCGCCCAATTTTTTGAGAAAAAAATTTTTTTTAGTTAGAGAAGGCGCTTTTAGAAAGAATAAAAAATATTTTATAATTAATTTTGAATTTATTTTTTTTTCCTAGTAATTGTGCTTTTAAAATTCAACGAGGATCGATTCTATTATTTTTTTATATTTTTTTAAAATTTCTTCTCTCAATTAACCGGTTTGACAAGGATAGCTTCTAACATTTCAGCCTGCTCCTTTTGATGAATAAATTTATTACCGGTAGCAGGTGAAGCACTGGGTTTTCGACCGGCATAAATTATACCGCGATTGGATCTATAATTTTTTTAAAAAATTTAATAATAGAAGAGAATTAAAAAAGTAACCAGACCATTAGAGACGGTTCAAACCCAGGAAAAACCATTAGGATTATTTTCTCTCAACAGAAACAGAAACCACGAGGATTTTTTTGGTTCGAACCAAGAAGTTATTCTGATCATTTCCGGATATATCAAAATTTATTAGACCCAACAAGAAATATTTTACTTGGATTAAAACTACGGAAAATATCAATGGATTCAAGGACGTATCCAAGAGGCTGAGGGGGACAAAAGCCTCGAAAAGCTCAAAGCGTACGCCACATTATAGCAACGCTAAAATCCTACCCCAGGATACGCCTTTGATGGATACTTGTTTTGATATTTTTAGAAATCAAAACCAAAAATCAGAAAAAATATTTTCAAATAAAACCTACTTCTTCAAGAATGACAGAAAACGCGGTTGAATGAATGTCCAAGCACCCATATTCTAAAATTGACCAGTAATAAAAAGTAAAAAAACATTAGAAACCTTATGCTCTTCCTGCGCCCAAATAATATCCGCATTAGAATACTTATTGCACTCTTGAATGAGCAAATCATAAGGAAATGGACTAATTTGTTCTACACGAGCAAGAGCAACCTAACAATAAAAATTTTGAAATTATTTTTTGATAAAAAAATTTAAAAACAAACATCAGCTTCAAGTCCTCTCTTTTTGCGTTCCAACAAAATATCATAATAAACCTTCCCTGCAAAATAAAAAATGTTAAAAATCCAGAAGCTACTTAAAGTAAACTAATCTACCAATGGTGACCTAGGATCTAAAACAGGGGTGGCCAAAACATTTTAAAAAGCGAAAAATGAAACACTAAAAAAAGCAAAAGTATATATAAGTAGGGTAGGGGGCCCGGTTCAGTTTGAATCGGTCATCGAATTTTGGCCCAAAAGATTCGAACGGTTGGTTCAATAAAAATGAGACCCGAAAAATGACTCGAAGGTAGGCCCGATTCGAAAACCCTAACCCTAGACATAAGGTAAAAATGCCGTTTATAGTACGCTTATTGCAATACTGTTTGGGGTTAGTTTCAACAATAATTTACAAAGAGTATTTTTGGTCAGAAAATAGATCACCCAACACCCAAAAATATTATTAAAATTCAAAAAAGATTAAAAACCTGAACAGAAAACAACACGTTTCACATTGGCCGGATTTTCACTTGCCTTCCCCTCTTCAACGCCAACACGTTGAAACGATGTTCCAGTCAAAAAACTTTCAATAGAGGAACGAGCCAAAGGATGACGAAGAAGGTACTTTTAATTTTTAAAAAAAGTTTAAATTTTTTTTAAAAATTAAAAAAATACTTTAGGAGTAAATACAATCAACGGTTTACGGAACGGCACATAAATTTGACGTCTTAGCAAATGGAAAAAGTTTGCCGGGGTTGTCGGATTTGCTACGATCCAATTAGTATCATTCAATTGACGAGCTACAAAAGCATCATCAAACGTCATATCCTTAAAAAACTTTCTTTGAAAAATCAAAATAGACAAAAACCTCATCAAAACGAACTCCATCATCTTCATTACACATTTGCAAAAAACGTTCTGAATAAAGATTTAAAAACTATTTTCAAATAGTAAAAACCTGGCCGAGCACTGCTATGTTCTGGACCCATTCCTTCATAACCATGAGGAAGCAACAAAGTCAAACCGCTTTGTCTAATCCATTTAGACTGTCCAGAAGAAATAAATTGATCAATAACACATTGAGCAGTATTAGCAAAATCACCAAATTGAGCCTCCCAAATGATTAATGAGTTTGGGTTTACAAGAGAATAGCCAAGTTCAAATCCTAAAACGGCATATTCACTCAAAGAAGAGTTGCAAACAACGTACTCGGCTTGAGTCTAATGAAAAAAATTAAAAAATAAATTTAAAAAATCCAAAAAAACCTCAGACAAATCATTCAAAGGATTATATGTTTTCTGATCAATTTTTTGGTCGTGTAAGACATGATGACGATGAGAAAAGGTTCCTCGTTCCACATCTTGACCAGAAAGACGAACATGAATTCCTAAAAATTTTCCAAATATTTAAAAAAAATTTTAAATAAAAAACCTTCTTTAAGTAGAGAACCAAAAGCTAATGCCTCACCAATAGACCAATCAAGGCTATCTTCATGAAACATATCACGACGACCTAAAGAACAAAAAATATATATGTATTTTAAAAAATAAAAGATGGTCCCTGACCCGTCGAAATGAAGTTCTCCAGGAACAGGGATTTGGGTCAGGCTATCTTCATAAATTTTTAGTAATGCTCCCCGACCAAAAAATCATTGTAGGGAAGGTACGGGTCCCTAAAAAACCTTTCGAAAAAATAACCTTTCAACGTTCTTTCCAATCCTCTATGTAAATTAAATCCTTCAGGAATTTGCGAGAATTTCATCACAATTTGTTCCAAATTTTCTTTATCAATTCCTGTCGGTGGCACATAAAAAGGATTTTTATCTCTAAAGAAATCATCCCATGGCGAATCTAGCCAATCACGATTTCTAACTGTTGTTATCTTCTTTGCACTTTCATAAGCTTCTTCCAAAATAGATCCATATTTACTAAATTCGTCATCAACATATTCTTGATCAGCTACTCCTTCAGCCAAAATTTTCTTTTGATATTGCTCTAGAACCGGTTTTGTTTGTTTGATACGTTGATACATTAATGGTTGTGTGAACATTGGTTCGTCTAATTCGTTATGTCCATAACGACGATAACATACAAGATCGATAATGACATCCTTCCTAAATTCTTTTCTCCATTCGGAAGCGACATTGCAGACCTTTAAATTAAATTTTTTTAAAGAAATTTCAGTATCGAAATGAATTTGATAGGTTTTTCTAGTTTGGTAATTCGGCGGATTTTGGGGGGTTTGATATTTCGCCGTTTTCATATTACGACGCACTACAAGTTTTGGTAAATGGTTAGGATTTTTGCTAGTCTAGGTTTAAAAAAACAAGGAACCAGGATAATGTTATGTAATATAATTTGTCGGATGTAGAACAACCAAAAACAAAGGTTTTAAAAGTTCTATTGCCTTTCATTTAAATTTTTAAAATATTCTTTGAAGTCGTTTAAAATCTCATACATACATATCTCACAGTCAGACAATCTAATATAATCCCCATAAAAAAATTAGCCAATCTCAACCTCCCTAAAAAGAATAATAAATCAAAAACGAACATGCATAACAGCCTCAGGATCATCAGCATTCACGTGAAATATAGGCGCGCCCATAACACGCCCAGCATCTGTACAATAAGGAGAGGAACGAGAAGAACGCGGATCGGTAGTAAATCCAATTTGATTATTTACTACGATATGAATGGCTCCATGAATTGTATAATCACGCAAATCGTTTAGATTGAAAGTTTCCATAACAACGCCTTGTCCAGAGAAAGAAGCATCTCCATGCAATACCAATGCCTGTAAAAATATACTTGAGAATTTTAGAAAATTTGTGTTGGTGAACGAAGCGCCAAGAAATAAATGCTAAAGCAGGCCCGATTCCTGCCCAATGCCAAATTTCCGTGGCGCGAACTTTGCGGACCCGAATTTTGCGGACCCGAACTTTGCGGACCCGAAATTTGCGGAACGAAAGTTGCGGACCCGAAGGTTGCGGACACGAAATTTGCGGACCTGATTTTTGCGGAACCAAGATTTTACGACCGACACTTGAGTAAAATTGAAAAATTAAAAATTTTACTTTTTGATGATTCCGGCAGAATTTACCATGATCCGTACCGGACTCATGATTTTTTCTTGATTTTTCAAAATTTTTATCAATTTCTTATCTAAAAATTATTTCATAATTTAAATAATCGAGAAAATTCCTTAAAAAATCATTTATATGGCCATTTCATAAGGTCATGATGCCTGAATTTATCCTAATTAACGCCGCAGGCTAAAATTTTTGAAATTTCCGAAATTCAGTAGACTTTATTGTCGATCCGCAAATTTTTGGTCCGCAAATCTCAGATCCGCAAAATTCGGGTCCGCATAGTTCGGGTTCGCAAAATTCGGGTCCGCAAAGTTCGGGTCCGCAAATTAAAATCCGCAAATTTCGGCGCGCCCAAATTTCATTGACTCACACCAAAGGTGGGAACACTTCCGCTAATGTCATTTTTGACCCTTCCTCTTCCGACTATATTTTCTTGCGACTTCTGCTTCTCTGCGAAAGGGACCAGTCTTAACCCATCCCACTATTTTTTAAAATAAAATGTTTTACCAAATGTCGATCACATGTAGGATCATTGCTGTAATAAGCTTCCGCATGAACTTTGCCTTGTACAACAGGATCAACAGCTGGAAATAAACAAAAAAATTATTTTATTTTCCACATAAAATTCAACAAACCTTCCAAATGAGAAGGATTCGCCACTACCGCAATTTTTATATTTCGTTGAGATTGCCGATTTAAACGTTCAATACAAACCCCAAGATGATATTTAACGTCACCAGAACCCTCATCTGTCGGCTCAAGAGTACTGAATTGAGAAAGGATTGTGCTAAGCGGTTGGCGGCAAACATTGGACAAAACATTTAAGCGTCCTCTATGTGGCATTCCAATACTTGAAAAATCAGAAAAGTAAAACATTAAAAATAAAAAAAAATTTTACACGACGGAATCAACACCCATAGCTGAAGATTGATCAATAACTTGTTTGATAGCAGGAATTAATACTTCACATCCTTCCAACCCAAAACGTTTTTCACTGGGCCATTTTTTGGCAAGAAAATCTTCAAATTTTGTAGAACGGATTAGACGTTTGAACAAAACTTTCTTTTGAGCAGGTGTTAATTCTGTGACGCGAGGAGCTTCAAAATGTTTTCTAACCCAATCTTGTTGTTCATAATTGGTCAAGTGCATATATTCAATTCCGGTACGATGACAATAAATTTTCTGGAAAAAAAATAAAAAGGTGTGAGATGTGGTTAAAAGGGAGCCGGACATCCAGGTTACCTCGGACGTCGAACTTTTGGAAAAATTTAATGTCAAAATTTCGATTCTTTCCGGTAGCTAAAGTATTGATACAATAACCAAATCAATGAAAAACTTGATTCAGTCAAAAATTAGCCCCGAACTATTTTGAGGATGAAAACTTCAATCTAACTCCCTAACAAATATCACAATAGATCCACCCAATAAGGTCAGCTCCCAGAAAGTTATCTAACACGAGGACAGTTGCCCTAAAAGTCATCCCCAAAAAGGAGTCCAAGAAAATCAAGTAGAAAAAAAACGAAACCTTAAGACGTTCAAAAATGTCTCGAAGCGGAAGAGTTGCCTTATCACCTCCTATAAACGTTGTAGGCGGCAAAAGAAATTCTCGATCCAAATCTTGCTCACTAAAACCATAAAAGTCCAGCTCGAGCTCTCTAGGTATAGTATCGTCCAAATCAGCGCTATTAATTCCCAAAGGGTCGAGATCAGCAATGTTATGGCCTCGAGTCTTAAAATTCAAAAAGTCAAATTTTTTTTAGAAAATTTACTAGAAACCTGAAAACTTCGAATTAAAAGTTGAATTTTCAGATGGTCATTAATAGCTCGAGTAAGATCATCTGCAGGAATTACAGATGTAGCGGTCGATGGCTGAACTTCCTTATAATCTCTCATCGCAAGTGTTGCATGTGGAGTTGGCACACCTTGGGAGAAGATTGAAGGCGACTGAAAAGCTTGGCCAGGTTCAGCACCAGCATGGACATTGCTAAAATTAGAAGGCATAAATTAAATTTTTTATATGTAAAACAGAGTTAAGACCAGGGGTTTTCACGACCTTACCCTTCTGATAACAAAATCAGGGGGAGAAGGCCCCGCGAGAAGTTAGGTTATTCTTGGTTTTTACTCCTTGAATCTGTCCCTGGCACAAAAAATCCGAATCATGACTCGAGAATTTCAAACTCTAATTTCACTAAGTCCATTCTCTTACCTATCAGAGATCAAGCTAGGTCAGGACCAAAGCCTGGGTATTTCCTGTGCCCAGAGCCCAGGCATTTTTTGAACTTCCTTGGGTTTTTCCTGAAGTATAGGCCCAGAATTCGGCCCAGGTCAATAAATCAAGCCCAGAGTCCGAGAACAGGCCCAGGCTTATTAAAAATCTCGATATCTACATCCCATAGTTCTTGGAACTGGAAAGGACAAAATGATATACCACTTTCAAGTCAAAAATTAAAATAAAAAACCTGAAGTAAGCATCCCAACTTTTATGAACAGAACTCTTATCATGCAACCAACTTTCATACATTTGCTCAATATATATTCCAGAACTTCCATTCATGAATGGCTCAGCAGCTACACGAGAATGTGGTGTTTGTAACCATTTTACAGAGAGAGAAAACGTCCTCGTTGAGACACGGTTTAGCATTGCAAAATTTGTGTTAATAAAAAGATTTGCAGACAAACTGAATCTAAAATGAAGTTTTTAGAGCTGTTTAGAGCCCGGAATTCGGTATCAAATCGTATTCCGTACAGTATTACCGACCTTAATACCGAGAAACTTACATTGGTTTGTAGTAGAGGTCGGCAAAATCGCGTTTGCGAGATCCCGCGGGATAAATCCCGCAAATCGAAAAAAGTGATGGATTGCGGGACGGGATCCCGCAAAATCCCGCGCGGGATCCCGTCCCGCGCCGACCTCAAGTTTGTAGTACAATACTTAAATTGTTTCCGCACCGTACTACGGATCGAAATACCGATAAATACTCAAAAAATACGCCGATAGTAAGGTACCATCCGGGCTCTATTTATTTCTAAACTTTGAAAAAATGTGAAAGAAAATATCAAAATTGGCAACTTAAATCAATTTAATATTAGTAAGACTTTATGGGAAAATTGCGAAATAAAAGCAAAGGAAGCAAAAGAAGTTCTCTCATCTTCGCACTAAATTAAAACAAAAATGATAATTGAAAGAATTTTAGCGTGATCTCTGTTCAAAAACATTTCGCGAAGGAAGAAAGAACAAAAGCGGGTACCCCCAAAAGTGCGCGGGCCTTTAAGGCGCAAAGCCATAACTTGGTGGGAAATCGTTTTCCCTTGTCAATTTTGGTACCAATCTCCTTAGCTAGATGAGAGGAATCGTTTAATACTAAATTTGATAAGATTAGGAAAGCTTGAAGCAAGTTATGGCTTTGCGCCGTTATGGCCTTGCGCCGTTTTGGGCGTTTCCCAAGAAAAGTAAACAGAAAATAAAACTCTCAGACTCTAAAGCTCAGACTCTAATGTACAATTTAATGGAAAATTAGAGAGCATAGGAGAGACAGTTAGACAAATTTTTTGAAAACTGACGCTTTTTTAAATTTTTATTTTTTTTTTATTTTTTTTAGAATTTTTTCTAATTTTTTAAATTTTTTAGGTTGTTTTCTGTTAAATTTTTATTTAATTTAATAAAGGAAAGCTGACTAATGGACGTCCAACAACAAGTTGAGCGTTATCAAAGAAATGATCGTTTGGTCGTTGATTTATATCACAAACTTAAAGTGGATGATCCCTATAGAACAAAAGGTTTTTTGTTTAAATTAAAAATATTTTAATTTTGTGTTTATTAGTGGGAGGGTTGTGGCTTTTTCAATTTGTTTGGGTATTTCTGTGCTTAATAAATTTTTGTTTTATTCTGACAAGGGGCATAAGAGAGACAGTTAGACAAATTTAGAAAACTGACGCTCAAATTTAGAAAACTAAGTTCCTTTGACCAAAAATTTTTTTAATAAAAATTATACAATTATGTAGCATGAGCGATAACCTATTGCCAATTTTTTGCTTTTTTTGGTCCCGGTCCCCAACTTGAAAAGATACGGCTTATCAAAGTTTCAAAAGTTTGACCGTTGAGAGAAAAATTGTCAATAAGTTATCGGACATTTTTAGTTTTAATTTTTTTGGTCATAGTTCGATTGGTTCCATCGTGGGTAGCTACCAGTTTTTGAAAAATATTCCCTAATCTCCTTAATTCCCTAATCCTTTTATTTATTTATTTATAATCCCTTTATTCTTTTTATTTTTCAGGCTCTACCGCATTTTCTGGCCTAGCAGAAAGAGATTATTCTCAACACGAGCATTTAGGTGTACCTTTCTTCTACCAAAGTTGGCATCATTCTTTCCCCCAGGAATTACTTGATCAATTTAAACGTATTTCTTAAACATTTTTAGGTAATACTTCGGCCGACGTCCCCCTTTTCCTTTTCCTGTTTCTCTGACCATTTTGGGCTTTTTTGCTTGACATATAATTTATTATATATCATTCGAAAGAGCAATTTATAATGGAAAATGAAAAAAAATAGAACAGAAAAACGGGGCGTCAGCCGAAGTATTACCCCTTTCTATTAGATTATAACCTTAAAAAATCCTTTAGATATGCGTAGCAATTTTTCAACGGGATTATTGCCTTCAATTATGCGGGCGTGGATGTCTATAGACTCTGATTTATATTTATGGAATTTTGATAATAAGTTTGTTTTTTTATTAAAGTTAATTTTTTAAAATTTATTTTAGTCGAGATCTTACATATTACGATTTAATAAATAACACAATTCTACGTGTTGATATAGCTCCTCCAAGGCCTGGATTTTCAGTAGTTAGTTTTTATTTTATTAAATTATTTTTGGTTCCCCATCGCGCTTTTATGAGTCCAATCACAGTTTATAGTCCAATTAGATTTTAGGCGAAAAGTTCAAAATGGTCAACTTAAACCTATTGGACTTATAAACTTTTTATTGAACTCGTAAAAGTGCGATGGGACTCATAGACTTATAAACTGCAGTAGAACCTCATTTTTTGCATAAATTTGCTATCCTAAAATGTCACTTGAGGACAAATGTTTCTGTCCGCAAATTTTTGTCCGCAAAAATGCAGTGACATCAATCTTGAGTTGTCAGTTTTTGATTAAATATTTTTTTCAGAATTTTGGGTTTAGAATGTTATTTAAGCATAATTATTTTTGTACGCAAGTTTTGTCCGCAAAAAAAACAATGACAAAAATTTAAACCTTATTTTTTTAAATTTTTACAGCCTTCTCTCCATTCTATCCTTATTGTTGCCACAACCGTCGATATTGTATTGCTAGCAATTAGATTTGAGGACAAGTTTGTTTTTATTTTAAATTTTTTTTAAATTAAAAATTAAGTTCTGGGAATGTTTTACCTCCAAATACTGATGACTTGAGAAATGCCTTAATTTCGATGGTTGGAAATTCTCCTCTCTACAGGCTGCCACTTGATGGACTTATAGTTACCGATATTTGCCCTACTTCTGATGGACGAATTTTCTTTTCTGCGGATGACTCTCTTTATGAATTGGAATATTTTGTATAATTTATCCGCAAAATTTATCCGCAAAATTTATCCGCAAAAATTTTTTTCTTAAAGGAAAAAGGCTGGTTTGGCATCGGAGGGACTTGTAAGAAGACAAATCATTCAAAAAGGCTTATAAACTATTTGGTACCTGTGTTACAAATTTTTTATTCAAAAGGTTTTTTTAAAAATTAAATTTTTAAAATAATTTTGATTTTTTTTAAGAATCAGTTTTTCAACTTGTTGTTGATGACAGCAGACATTTGCTTTATTTACTCATGAAAAGTGGTTGTATTCAGGTTGGGGGTTTCTTTGGAAAAATATTTTTTCGAATGTTTATTACTTGGTATTTTGTTCATATCCTGCCTTCCTTCCTATTTGAGTTTCGGATTAATTTACCTTTCAAACTTTTCGGCCTCGGAAGGGTCATTTTTTAAATGTTGGTTTTTATCATTGACTTCTATTCTTCCTTTCTAATTTTTGCTCAATTAACTTGCAAGGGAATGAGTAAAAATTTTTTGATAAAAATTATACCATCGTGTAGAGCATAGTCGAGACACCAATGTAGTTTCCGGCTTTTTTGGCTCCGACCCCCAATTCGAAAAGTTATAGGGCTTCAAAATTTACTGCTTGAGAAATAAATAATTGACAATAGAAAGGAAAATTAATTTGAGAGACTAAAATGGAGAGGGGCGTGATATGAACAAAATGCCCTATTTTACTCTGATTTAATTTTTAAGGTCTTCGATTTGGGTTTTGACGGCCGTTCAATACAAAAATTCGGAGCTTTATATCGCGAACAAATTGAACATTTGGCTAAAGAATCGTGCAATGTTAACCCTGAACTTTTTTCTGAAATTGTTAATATTAGTCCAATTCCTTTATCGCAGTCAATTAATGTTAACTTGGTAATGAATTTTTGGAAAATTTTTAAAAATTTATTTTTTAAGGTTGCTACAACGTCAAAAGGTGTTCGTATCTATATTAGTTGTTTGGCTACAAATCTCCATTTAAACGAGGTTTTTTAAAACAAATTTCGTTTGATTTTAAAAAATTTTTAGGTCTCACAAAAAACACTTCGACCTAGCGCTCTTCGCATTTTACACATTCGCTTTCCTCCAGATATTCCATTGACTTCACCTCACAATTTGAGTATTTACACAACATATCAGACACATGGTAATTTCTTTTTTCTTTTTTAAATTTGTGGTTTTTAAAATTAATTTTTTCTATTCACAAAAATCGCTAAATTGTGTCCGCAAGTCATACAATCTGTTTAATATTGATAGTAGAGTTCGACTTTGGTCCAGGACCGTGTTTTCCGTGTTAAATACCTCGGAAACCAGTTAGGCATTTTGATAAAATTCGAGGCGAGGTTTTATTCTGAAAAATCTGGACCGGGTCATTTTAGAAGAAGAGGTTCAGATACCCGGCCTGACAATTTGAAAATGGAACTCTAATTGATAGTATTGCTTTTTTTTGAATTATTGGCCAGTCATTACGACTTGCAGCTAAAATCAGCGAATTTTTGATATCATGGAAGAAACGAACTAAATTAAAAAAAAATTTTTCTCAAATTTAAGATTGTACTCTTATGGCAACACCTGGACCCGATTCAAATTCAAGCATCATTTTGGCACATTCCACTTCCTGTTTTTCACATAATTCTCAACTTATTGAATTTACATGTTTTAATCGAATTCATGGCAGCGTTTGGAGTATTGCTCATTCAAGACAAGTATTTTTTTTATCAATTTTTTCTTTATTAAAAAAAATTTTTTTTAGAAATCTTTGCGTAAGAGTAGAAAAGAAAATGATATCGTTAAACAATCAGATGAATTTCCTCTTTCCGTGGAGCAACATTTGTGTCCAATTGAGAAATTTTTTGTTATTTCGTCTAAGGTTAATTTTTTAAAGATTTTTTAATTTGAGAGGGATTGGGTTGTCTTTTTGTCATTTTGGCAACGGAGACTGCCGCTCCAAAATACTGAAGCATTGATCAGCTATAACTTTTCAATTTGGGGGTCAGGGGGAAAAAGTCCAGAAATAGCCAATAGGTTTTCGACTATGCTCTACACTATAGTGCAGAAAATTTTTTGAAATTTTTGCATACAGTTTGGAATGTTTTCATGTAAGCCAATTTTAGTAGATTTCTTTTGAGCTTGCTCCTTCAAGTTGTCCATTTTTATCCTAATTTTTTGGAGGGACATCTTGTCCAATAGAATTTTGTTCATTTTTCCAAAAATTTTTTAATTCTCCCCATTTTCAGGGCATTTATGTATTTGAACACTGTTCTCCTCTTGAATTATTTCGACATATACTCACTCAATACGGCAACGATTCAAAACAATTCCAAGGATTTGAGGCTGTTGTTAACCAAACAGAATTGTGTGTAATGGCTTTACAAGTAATTTGTAGTGAAAATGCTTCGGATGCAACAATTAAAGATATGGCATTACGTGTATTTTTTCAATGTGCTGGAGAGCCTAGATTAATGTATGGAAGTGGAGATCATTTTATGGATTATGGACCGAGGGCAAGTACTAGCAGTGATGGTTATATGAATGGAACACTTTCTTCAAGTGTTTTTACACCTAAAAGTATGAAAAGAATATTTATATATTTAGAGATTAGAGCTGGAATTAGGACAAGGTCTATGGAATTTTTTAATGAATTTCCCTTCTGAAGTCTGGGGGGTTTTTCTGAAAAAGTCTGGGGGTTTTTATGAAGAGCTGGAATTAGGGCAGGGTTTTTTCTGAATCTATAACCAAAATTCTAACATTTTTTGCCATTCGTTGATCTGGTTTTTTCCTGGAGCCAAGCCTATTTGTGCCCAGACGAACGGAGCTGCCCCGACCCAATACTAGAATCCGTGTCTTTTTTGGTTCGAACCCCGATCCTAATAAAATTTATAATCCTGTCCAGCCTCTTCTATCAGCCTATGACTTCCTTGATTTACATATTGGGCAAAACGGCATCTGTTCATTTTTATTTTGCGAGTATTCAGAGCATTTTATGAATTTATAATTGGCTTTTGATCAGGACTGCACGCAATTGCGGATTGCGAGTTGCGGATTTTTAAAAAGAAATTGCGAGTTGCGGAATATTTTTTCAATTCCGTGCAGCTCAGATTTTGATTCTATATTGCAATTAATTTTTACCCTAAATTTCAGCACCTCTTCGAACATCAACACCACAAAATAACTCAACTCCCTCTGCAAATTATACAAATGGTTTTACACCGCAACATGTTTTACATACACCTGGAGGAGGTTTAGATAGCGATCAGTCTATTATAGCGGGTGCTAGAGTGCAAAATTCTCCACGTCATGAAGCTTTGTTTATTTATTTTTCACGAATAATTAAAGGAATTTGGCGAAGAAATTTATGTTTGGTGAAACAGATAAACGAGGTTTTTCTTTGAAATTTAAGTAGGGGAGGGGCTTTACGGGGAGGGGATAGATTTTATGGAGAACGGAAGATGCATGGAATTCGGGGAGAATAACTGAGGTTCTGGAGTGGTTTGCCCTAGTTTCCCAGGGCTTGCCCGAGTTCCCTCACTTTAGTTCCCCCACTTGCCCTGGTTCCCCCATTTTTTCTTAAACTCCCAATTTTAAGAAAAATTTTCCCTTCCCAGAGACTGGGGTCGAACCCTAATTTTAAAAATTTTAAGAAATTTTTTTTAGGTTGAAAGTCAGCTAACAAAAAATATTTTGGATGAAGTCGGTTATTATTTAAATTCTCTTCGGCAAGCAATTGACGAATGTTCACTCATCACTTCTCCACAAATTCATCATTTTCCGAGTAGAACTTTACAACAGCAGCAACAACAACGACGAACATCTTCTGAAGAATCTTCTCGTATTATTTTTTATTTTTCAAATTTTTTGAAAAATTCAAAAATTTTTTCTAGTAGTTGACCAGGAAAAACAATCACTTCAAAAATTGAGAACTTTAGTTGGTGTAACATGTGAAGTTGTTGCTTTATGGAGTGTTTTGTTGGAACACGAATTGCGAGTGATTTTTGTAGCATTGGCTCCAGATGTTCAAAAATGTTTGTTAAATTGGTCTTTAGATGATTTGGTTCGGAACAGGAATGACGTAAAAATTTTCTGAAAGACTTTTAAAAATTTTTAGAAATTTTTTGGAATTTTCAAAAAAATTTTTTTTAGAAATTCTTTGGAATTAAAAAAAATTTTTTCAAAAAATTTTTCAAAAAAATTTTTTCCTAGGTCTGCGCCGATTTAATTAGCGCCCTTATTCGCCATTATATTGGCGATGATGCTTCCACTGCTGCTTTAAGTGAACGTTTACGTACCCTTTGCCCAACTCTTTTTACCGTTGATGATGCTTCAGTTGTTAAGGCGACAGAAAATATTTATAGAGCAAAAACAACAACTCAGCCACAGTTGGAAATGATTAAAGAGGCTGTCGCTCAATTTAGAAAATCAATTCAAAAATTAAATCTTATCCAAACCTGTGATCTTTTGTTACAAGGTTATGAATATTTTTAAAAATGAAGTAATACATCAGGAATGGGGCCCTAATCAGGAATGGGGCCTTAACCCTACCCAGACCTGACATTTATATTTTTTACACATTCATTTTCAGTTCTCTATTTTGACGGCATTGTTGATTTATCTTTAATGCGTGCCCGTCGCGATGATCCAAACGATTTGGCTTTAATAGTTTACAAAAAACATTTAACATCAACAGACGTCACAGTCCAGGAAGCAATGGAAAAAAGAAATGAAGCTTATAATTGTATTTTGGAAGTACTTCGACTTCTTCAAATTTTGGCAACTTCAAAAGAAAGCCAATTAGCATCATTAAATTTAAACAATTTTTTCCAATCTGCTGATTCTGTTAAACAACAATTATCATCTTCACGTGCCCAAGAAGAAAGGGATAAACTTTTGAGAAGAGTTTTGGAATCTGATGATGAATTGGCTTGTGTTAAAGTTTTTAATTGGATGTTGGGAAATAATTTGGCTGATCAACTTATTGCTGTAAATTTTAAAAAATTTTCTAAATTTTTTTATTGGAAAAGAAGGGATAGGGGGTTGAATTTATGACACAGTTTTTCTCTTATTTGAATATTTTTAAAATGGTCAGGGCCAATAATAATCAAAAATTGAACATTTTTTGCGAGTCTAGATTAGGTTAGCATCCCTTCCCCCTAAACCCCGACCCGAAACCCGAAGGCTGTTCCCCGACAAACGCCGATCCCCAACTCCCACCCCTGTTCGGGCAAACCCCTGAAACCCCGACTATTTTTTGGCAAAAACCCTACCCGAACCCCTAAGGCTCTACCCCGGTAAAACCCGAAACCCGCAATAGTTCCTTAGGGATGAGAGCGAAGTGGTTAATGGAAATCAGTCGACCGCTTGATTTGGTCAATAGGATAATCGAACACAATAACCCACTTTTACTTAATTAACCCCCAAAAGATAGACTATAATCATTAGAAATAACTTTTATTTTTTAGAACAAATTCAAGTATTTCGAGGCATTTTTATTCCACGAAATAGAAGATGGGAAGGGGAATATTTATTTGGAATTGTTGTGGAAATATTATGAGAAAAGTCATAATTATTTGGAAGCAGCGAAAGTTTTGGCTGGGATGGCTTCGAAAACGACAAGGTTTTTTTGGGATTTTTTGGAAAAAATTTTTTTAATTTTAAAGTCGTACAAGCATCTCTAATAGAATTACTCATTTATCCAATGCTCTAATGTGTGTTCAATCGGCACCTGAAACTAAATCTAATATGGAATTGAAGCAAGAAATTCAAGACAAGCTTGACGTTGCACAGATTCAAATGAGAGCAAAGTTGGTTTTTTTTTTAAATTGACTGAATCTCGCCTTTAGATACCCCCCAAGGAAACCAACAAAAAAACTCTCAAATCACAGTGTCAAGCTTATGTGATGTTGAAATGCCAAAGACCCAAAAGCCTTCAACTGTTTGGCATTTTGAGTTTTTAGGGATTTAGTTTTTGGCATTACGGGATCACCGTTGGGGTTGATTAACTCGTACCTTATAGCAAGGGGTAGCCAGCGGGGTCTGAGACTAAAGCCCTCCCCCCAAAATGAGGAAAACAACAAAATTTTGGCGCAGACTCGCCCAAAAGTCTGTGCCTGGCTACGCCCTTGTCTTATAGTGACCAAATATAGGCTAGTTTTTAGTGCTTATGCAGATTCCCCCACCCAGTGACTGACCAGATTTTTTAGAAAACGTCTCTTAAATTCGTACCCAATTTATGGGGTATCTAGAAATGAGGTTCGATTAATATTAAAATAAAAAATAATTTAAAAAAATTTCAGAACCTTATTAGAATCTGAAACTAACCCAGAAATTGCAGCTAGAGGAAAGGAGGCAATTGAAGCATTAAATTATCAACTATGTGGTTTAACTCAACTTTATTCTTATGCAAAGACTTACAATTTGCATGAAATTAAATTGGCAGTTTTGCATTGTGCGAGTCAATTTGATACTGAAATTGTGGAAAATGTTTGGAGAGATATTTTGGATAAAGGTTATTTTTTTCTAATAGGAAATTGAAAATCTCCTGCCTAACCACATTTAGACTCGTACCAGGGATGGGACGAGGTGAGAAAAAATATGGTCAGGCTTTGAATCGGATTTTCAAAATTTTTCTTTGGATCGGATTTCTGGTCGAGAAAAATCCGGGTTTCGGGTAAACAGTTTCATCTCTATCCCGTACCACAAGAAAAGGTGAAAGGTCCAATATTGTTTGGCTCTGATTTGACCGTCGTTAGTAGGGTTGTCGGTTTGGACCGAACTGAAGAACCGAGGATTTTTCGGTTCGGGTCTTCGGTTTCGGATATCCGAAGAATTTCCAGGAACCGGGCCCTACCACAATAAAAGGGGGTTAACCATTGTTAAGTAGCCATAAAACAGCTATGAGAAAACCAGTATGATATAAGCTATATTTGACCATGAATCGTTTTTTTATGGCACACTTGTTAAGAATTTGGTGGATGATATCTTTGGTCCCCTAATTATGGTGGAAAATTAACAAGAAACTTGTTCCGCAAGGCTTGAAAAATCTTTTATGGACAGAGGCTTTCCCAGAAAATATTTTTTTAATCTCTATAAAAAATTTATTTTTTCAGAACTTCGCAATTTCCAACTCAATCGTTTAACTCTTGACAAAATTCAAAACAATATTTCTTCAATTCTTTTGCGTTTGCGTAAACGTTATGCTTCCTCTCCACAATTTGTTCCATTAGGTTTTTTTCTTTTTTATTAAAAAAAAATTTTTTTCTTCTTTTAAAGATTATATTCTTCGCGAATTAATTGTTTTCTCATTTAAAAATTCCCCGCCAATTAATTGGGTTTTAGAAATTTGCCGGGGAGCGGATATAAAATATGGCAAATTGCTTGCTGTTGCTTCTGAACAATACAGGTTTTTTTATTAAAAAGAAATTTTTTTTTAATTTTTTCTAATAGAATTTTTGACCCTTTCTGGAAACAAAATCAACGTGCTTTTAATTTTATGTTGGACTTGGCAGTTTTGACAACAGAACGATCGTTGGAGGAAGCTAAAGCTTTGGGAAGTTCAGACAGGTTTGGGGAACTTTTTTTTTATTTTTTAAAATTTCTAAAATTTTTTCCTTTCCTTTTTAAATGTGGAGTGGTTTTTAATCAAAGCTCCCCCGACTCCAAAAAATGTCAAATGACTTCCTGCCGGTCTCAAAGATTTTTATCGATTCCGTGAGACTGTTCCGAAACTTTGGGGAAACATTGCTAGTGGCAACTCATCCCAAAAAACGTTAAATGGTTCCTGGCAGTTCTGGGCGGTCTCAAAAATTGTGTGGATTCCGGGACAGTAAAATTGTTGATTTTGGGTTCCGAAAACCTGTCAAGTTTAAAATTTCTAATTTTTATAGAAAAGTACTCAAGAATACATGTTTGGAATTTCTGTCATCATTACAATTAAATGTCCAAGATCGAATGAGTTTTGGCGTTGCTTCAACAACCCAAAGAAGTATAACTGAGCGACTTGAACTTTTAAATGCACAAATTTCAAAGATTTCGTAAAGAGGAAAACAAAAAAAAATTTTTTTTTAATCGCCGACGACCACTGCCCTTCAAAAAAGCAAAAAAATACAAGAGTTGTTGCTCATCTATCGGTTAATTTTTTATTTAAAAAATATAAAAATTGTTATTTTATTTATCAATTTTTTGTTTATCTATGTTCCTTTGTTGGCGTTATAATTTTTTCAAAAAAAATTTTTTTCAACGCTTATTTTTGTTTTCATCTGGTAATGATCTTTTTTATATTTAAAAATAATTTGATGTTTAATTATTGTCTCTTTGTTGTTACTAATTAAAAAAAAAGTTATATAATTCTTAAAATTATTTTAGACTCTGTGAAAGACAAGAATTATTCCCAGCTTTTCTTATTAGGTGTCAGAAATCTAAAGTAAAATCTTCTTGAGAGAACCTTTATTATGAGTGGATATGTTGTAGGAAAGCGTTGATACTAGTAATAGGCACGGTTCGGTCTATCGAGAGCAGAGGTGGGTCGGAATTCCGATTTCCAACGTTTTTTTCCTTCCGTTTTCCGAAAAAAATTTTGATTTCCGATTTCCGACTTTTGAGCCATTTCCGATAGTTCCGATTTCCGACATTCTGACTGTTCCGACCCACCTCTGATCGAGAGTACCGATAATATTTTAAAAATTTTTATCCTCGTCCGGGTTGGGAAAATTCATTCGCCTACCACTAGGTGCTATTACAATTATACAGTTAAACGGACCGGAAAGCCATGGCTTATCAAGCCTAAAAATAAGAACCAAGCTTTTTTTGGCATCTAACACTACCCGAAAATAAAATTTGGGCAGATTTAGGCTGAAGGTATATTTTAACCGATATCTCTAAAAAATCCTAAAACGAAAAATAAAAGTAATAAACCTCTTTAAAAAATAAATTAATCATCAAAAAAAATTATACAAAATCTTTATAATTCTCCTTTATCCATCCAAAAAGACTTTTTGGCCGAGCAATTCCAAATTTACAATATTTAATGATTAACCGGTAAAGCTTGCCTTAAATTTTATTTTTTAAATTTAATTTTAAAATTAAATTAACCAATAGTAAACCCTTCTGCTTGCAACAATTTTACAGTTTCTTCCAATTCTTGTGCAAACAATTTTTTTCCAAATGTGAAAAAGACGAGGGGACGGCATGCAAGGGAAGCCGCCATTAGTTGAATAAGGCCTTTAAAGAAAATTTTAAAAATTGGTCTGACCGTATTATAAGACACCCTCGATATAAGATACACCTTAGTTTAAGATACCCACAATACAAAACCTCATTATATGATACCCCTCTATTTAGAATACCCTCAATATAAGATACCACTCTATTTAAAATACCCTCAATATAAGATACCCCTGATACCTCTCTATTTAAAATACCCTCAATATAAGATACCCCTCTATTTAAAATACCCTCAATATAAGATATCCCTCTATTTAAAATACCCTCAATATAAGATACCCCTCTATTTAAAATACCCTCAATATAAGATACCCCTCTATTTAAAATACCCTCAATATAAGATACCCCTCTATTTAAAATACTCTCAATATAAGATATCCCTCTATTTAAAATACACTCAATATAAGATACCCCCGATAAGAGACCTCAAGGATACCTTCAGTATATGATACACCCAATACAAGACACCCTCTCGATTCAGGATAACCCCAATATAACTTCATTATAATGATACAATCAATACAAGATACACCTCTATTTAAGATACCCCATTATAAGACCTCACTATAAGTTACAATTTTTCAGCCCTAATCTTATAATGAGAGGTCCGCTTAACATAAAAAAATTCCACAAACTTTTTAAGTGCAAATCTCCTCCAAAAACTCCACATCCCCAATTGCCTGTAGCTATTTGATCAAAACTCCAAGCTGTACGTATCGCAAATCCTATAAATGCTTTGCGAAGTTCACGACGAATATATCCTTCAAAAAACTGATCTAAAGGATGGGTAAAGTTGAGTGCATCAATTGCTAATAATTCTGACATTACTCTTCCCATGGCATCTCTAAAAATCAAAAAAGAAAAAAATTATTTTGGAAATGTTTTAAAGGACCAACGATCTACCGCCCTTATAACTAGGCTTATAAGAGTCCAATCTCAATCCGGGCCATCCTAATAGGCTTATTAATCGTTTTTAATGTGCAAAATAATAGCAAAAAAGGAGAGAAAAATGGATGAATTATAGCTATGATTCCGCGGTAGACTATGTTTGCAACATGGATTGGACGGGTCGGGAAAAAACGGGTCGGATTTTAAAATTTCTCTGATCATGGTTATAGTCAAGAAAAGGTCCGGGTATCGGTTTTTGGATAACCAGACCCACTCCTGCTTCGCAGTAGACTAACCTTTGCGAAGAAACATCTCTTTGACGATATTTCCAACAAAAAGTACTTCCATAACCTTGATAATCTGAGTATCTTTCTGCTCCAATAATTAATATTGCTTCATTCTTTTCCATCTAAAAATCCAAATTTGAAAATAAATATTTGAAAAAAAAAACCTTTTCACATACAAGGCAAGAAATGATTAATTCTGGGCATATTAGGAAACGAATTTCTTCCTTAAAATAAAAGAAAATTTTTTGGGTTTTTGGACTGTTTACAATTAAAAATTAAATTTATAACATTTTTTATACATCCAAGAAATCGAAAAAATGGATGGATGAGAGCTCAAAAATAGCTCAAAAGAGAAATGGGACAAGAAAAACTATCGGCCTGCTTCATAGGAGCCAGGAATCTATTGCCTCGCCTATAGAAAAAAAAGAACCCCAAGCCTGTACATTTTAAATTCTAGACAATCGGATCAGAGATGTCAAGGGTTGAGGAAAAACTTGGGGCGGGGTTTCGGAAAGTTCTCGGATCAAATTTTGGGTTGAAAAAAGTCTGGGTTTCCGGGCCTGAACCTGATCATTCTTCCTTAAAATACTTCAAAAAACAAAAAAATATACCTGTACAAGTCCATATCCAAGTACACCCCCACCAATATATTCATTTGCAAAATCTACTTGAGTCATCTTTTCTCCCTCATTTTCTATTCTTCCATTGGGTAAAGCATTTAAATTAACTAAAGGAAATTCAATTTCATCCCATTTTGGTTCCAATTCACAATTAAGTTTTTGACGAATAATTGAAACTGTCCCATTTGGAGGATTTTTAAAAAATTGAGAAAAATAGTGCAAAATACATTTTAATTTTTCTGGTGCCTTGGGAGTTTTGCGAGTAAAAAGCCTTAAAAATAATTTTAAAAAATTAAAGTGACTTGAACTGGTTAGAACCCATAACCTATTAAAGTTATCAAAATAAGTAGCAAAATATTTGAAAAAATTTCTCCGACTACCAGATTCGAATCCCCAACGTTAAAGTCGATGGTGCAAAAACGTTACCACCACACCACAAAATATTTTTTATAGTTCGTGGTGACCGAGATCTCGATCGAAAATCTCGGTTATCGAAATCGAGAATTTTTCGAGATCTCGATTCTCGTACGTCACTCCCAGTACGGTCTCTAGTTTGTGGTGTAGAGGTATATTTATGAACCCGTTGACTTTTTCAGTTGATGTGAGATTCTTTTTTCGTTTACCCTACTAAACTCAAGATTCCCGCAAAAACATTATTGGTCTTACAAAAAAATTTTTTCGACGGGAGGAATTTTTCAGCTTTTCCAAATTCCGTATTTTATTAATTTATAAGTCTCATAAAAACTTAAAAAAACCTGATAAAATTAATTCTATTAAATTCTCCAAAATTTCGAGCAGTAAAAGTTGAATAAAAAGCATTCGCTAAAAGTGAAGCAATCTGAAGTTGGCTTAAAGTTAGAGAGCCGTTTCCCTCCCTTCTAATAGCGCGAATTGGTTGTTTTATTTGTTTGGGTAATTCAAGTGCTAGCCGAGCAATTGATGATAAAATACGTTTGTTAAAGTAAGCAGAGGAATCTTGGTTAAATAAAGAAGCAATAACGCTGAGATCGGGTTCGGCAGAAAAATTGAGATACGAAAGAAATTTGGTCTGCAAAATAAAAAGTAAAATTGTCGTTTATCTTCTAATTATTTTCGTTTATCTTCCCCCTCTTTTTTATTCCAACAAACAATTAAGGTAGATTAATTTTTATTTTGTTTTGGAAGGAAAGTCTGCCCATTCCGCACATCCATGGGAAAAATGAGGAGGAAAAAAGGGAATTTTAAAAACCCTTTATTCTTGATTTTAAGTGAGGATCTTGACCAGATCAAGATTTTCCCTTGAGACAAGGTAAAATCATGGAACGCTGAAAAATGCTTTGATCTGAACTCTGAATTCCGAAAAAATCAAAATATGAAACCAGATCCAAGCCGATCACTACTAACCAGTAAAGGAACAAGCCGCCCAAGAGCCTAGCTAAAACCCTTCTCCAAAATTTTCTTCAAAAAAACCTTGAAATCGAAAAAAGTCAAAGCTTCCCCGACATTGGCTATCCACTCAAGTGCTTCTGAAAATTCAAAATTTATTTATTCAATCAAAAATAAAACCTTCAATTCGTTTCCACCTCTCTTCATTATAACAAGGTAAAGGAATATGTTTTGTTTGGTTATAAAGTTCGTAACTACAAATAGGTTTTGCCCCCTCAATTTCATCATATTTGCATAAGAAATAGTCTTCTGGTAGAGAAAAATCACGTAGAAAATTGATCGACATTTAGTAGAAAAATAACTAAAAAATAAAATAATCAAAAAATAAAAATTTGAAGAAATTTTGAGAAATAGTTGAGAAATAAAAGAGAGAAAGCAGAGAAACAAATTAATTAATAATTTGAAGACCCAAATCGGCGCAGGCCTAAACGGCGCGCCTGAAAAAGCGCGTCATTCAGACCGCGCCCTTTTGGTCTGCGCCGGTTCGGGTTCTAACTTAAAATCAGCAAAATTTGGCGTTTTGTTTTTTGACGTCATTTTGTCCTAAAAGGATTAGCCAGAAATAGTGTGATGAATTGTTAAAAAGAGAAGAAAAGGGGGCAGGTGCTTAAGCCGCGCCGCTATATATAAAACCCAATAATTTCAGTTTATAAACGTTTTCTTCAAAGTCATTCAAAATCATTGCAAATGACGTCACCTAAGAAATTAAAAGTGCAAGATGCTAAGCAACTACTCGAAATGGATCGTGTTCTGCGTTTGCATGAAGGGCAAATTTGGTTTGTTTCTTTTTATTTTTTAAAGATTTACGGGTTGGACTTAACTTTTAACTGAGGGCGGTCCTCCAATGACTCCAAGACGAGGTAGAGGTCGGAACTTATAATTCACTACCGGAAAATCATGAACCTGAGAATCCTTACGGTCTGTACCACCGATACGGCATGCCGAAAAATACCCTCAGTAGTACGGCATGGTCCGATCTCTACGTAGCATATGCCTTCAGAATCATTTGATTTTACTTAAATTTCAGGTATGTCATCAGCAACACGTGGTGGAAGGAATTTTTGAGTAATGCCGAAGGCGCAGATGGTGATGCTTTCATTGAGATGCCTCCTATTTCCAATAAGGACGTCGTTGAGAAAAGTAAGAACAACTTAAAGTTCATTTACCTTTTTCAAATTTAGACAGCGAGGACCAATACGTTCTAAAGCCAAATCTCAGTGGAAGCTTGGGCTTTGTTAGTGACGCAGTCTTTGCTAATCTCAGGAGCGTATTCGGAATCGAGGATGAAGAACGGGATGTAATCTCTAGAAAGGTTGTGAAAGGGATGCTGAGAGATGAGACCTTTATTGAGGTCTATCCACTCCAGATAAAGGTTTATTTTATAAGGCTAGTGGTGTTTTATTGAAATTTCCCCAGATTGCTAACTACAACAACAAAGAAGTTGTTTTCACCATTGAAGTGAGCCAGGCTGCTACGATCGACAAGATTAGAGAAATCGTTTTTGACCAACTCAAAATTGAAGAACAATACAGGAACGGCGCCCATTTTCTTATTGAAGAGAAGGGTAGATATGATTGTTTGCCCGACACTGTTTCGTACGCCAAACTTAGCGCTATCCTGCATTCTGGAGCAATTGTTTATGTGGATGCTTCTGGAGCAACTTCTGAGGAGTTGGTAGCGGCTCAAAATGGAACAACTCGTGGGGGACGATTTTCTGAAAGGTAACCAGTTATATAGGTGATACTGAGCTTCTGCCCCACCGTCTTTCTTTTCTTACAATTAGAATATACATAACGGTTGTCTGGCCTTTCTTGTTTAATTTCACCTGATTTCTCTTTGACATATTTCGTTTTCATCATGTTTTTCTCCCTCCTTACATTCTAGTTGTGAGGAAAAAATTATGGGGAAGTGGGCATGAAACTCGGTATTACCCCCCTTCCCTTTCTTTCCTTTAAATCTGTGTTTTTTAGAGTTGCAACCTATCAAAAAGGCTTGTGCGGACTTCAAAATCTTGGAAATACTTGCTTTATGAACAGGTTAATTTCCTGGCCCCCAAATTTTAGACATGTTTTTAGCGCTATTCAATGTCTGAGCAACGTTCCTGAGTTAACCGAGTATTTTATAAACGACGAGTACTATGATGAAATCAACACTACCAATCCTCTTGGCACTCATGGACGTTTGGTCAAAGCTTACGCTGAACTTCTTAAGGATATGTGGTCTGGGTGTTCTAGTTCTGTGAGGCCTTGTCATCTTAAGGTTGTTAGAATATTTTTTCGATTCTTACACCATTTTTCAGTGTGTAATTGGCGAATTTGCTCCTCGTTTCAATGGCTATGCTCAACAGGACTCTCAGGAATTGACTGCCTTCTTGCTCGATGGGCTCCACGAGGATCTAAACCGGATAAAGAATAAGCCATATGTTGAAGAAAAAGAGATGGAGGGCAGAGATGAGGCTCAGGTTTATATTCTTTGGGGCTTACACCCTAAAATTTCAACCAAATTTAGGCAGCAAGAGAAGCCTGGCAAGACTACAAAAAGCGCAATGACAGCATTATTGTGGATCTTCTACATGGTCAACTCAAGTCCACCTTGACTTGCAATGTCTGCAGCAAAATTAGCATCAAGTTTGATCCATTCTGCTATCTGTCATTGCCCATTCCCGCTAAAGAACGCCAAGTTAAATCTACAATCAATTTTGTTCGCAAAGACAAATGGGCCAAGTTTTTGTTGACGCATACAAACAAGACGACAATTCTTCAATTGAAAGACGTTCTTCGACAACATCTCAAAATACCGGATCATATGGAGGTTACACTTTTATATAAATTTTTTGTAGGGTCCGTCAAGTCTTCTGAAACCCCGACGATTTTTTTGACATAAAATCTCGACCCGAACTGACAAAAATCTCGACACGAACCTAAAATGCTCAACCCCGTCCCCCGAACTTTTCAACCCGAAGGTTCTGGGTCAACCCCTGATTTATCTGCAAAAACTTCTCATTTTAAGATTGTCTTGCTTACATACTTCAGCAGCGATATTCTAGAAGATGACAAGTTAGTTGGCACATCTTACAACAATATTGGCAAACAATTTTATGCTTATGCTCTTGATGGACATGGACCTCTTTTACTTGTTGAAAATCGAAAACCTAACAGTTCGTTACTTGGAAATGTTTTTCCCGTTCGACGACCAGAAAAATTGACTAAACAATTTGTTTTTGACTCCATTTTGCCGCTTTGTCGAGACTACTTTTGGCGTACGGATGCAGGAACTTCCGCAATGGACACTAATGTTAAAGACAGTCCAAAACAAGGTGAAGAGCCTATTGAAGATGGCATTAAACCGCAATATTCTCAAGTGAATCCTGATGAGATTGCTTTGCAGGAACCTAATTTAATGCTTCAAGAATTCCCTGATGATCCAGATGAGGTTACTTTTAAGGATTTTTTGAATCCTCAAACAATTTTTTTTTGAAGGAAGTGCCCTTTTCTCTTCCATATGTTGATGGCCCTGTTCCAAAAATTATGCTTACATGGGAAGAGAATAAGCAATTTAGCAGCGTCAATCCAGACGTGAGTGAAGTGGTTAACCTGGGGGTATTTTTCTCATTGGACCTTAAATAATATTTTTTGTTTTTTAGTCGCTAGTGGAGCGTGAAGTCAACATTACTCAAGTTAAGAAGGCTTATACGATCAAGGAGTGTATCGATGCATATACAACTAAAGAACAATTGAGTGAGGAGGATTCATGGTTTCGTTTTTTTATTTTAAGGGGATTATTCTCTGACTTTTTCCAGGTTTTGTCCAAACTGCAAAACTCATCAACGCGCCTTCAAAAAATTGGATCTCTGGTCGCTTCCCCAAATTTTGATTATTCACCTCAAAAGGTTCTTGTACACACGCTACTCTCGTGAGAAAATTGATACTGAAATTGATATCCCAGTGAAAGGTTTGGATATTGGGGAAAAAGTGCGCGATCCTTCTCAAAAGGATGAGAAATATGACTTGATTGGTATTTCGAATCATTCTGGAGGTTTGTGGATTTTTTGACTTTTGGGCCAATAAATTGATAATTTTTTTGAAGGTCTCGGTTCCGGCCATTATACAGCGCGGGCATTGAACAACAATACGTGGTGTGAATTTAACGACTCGTCCGCTTATGCCCTTAATACACCGCCCGGCGACTCTATTGTATCGAAGGAAGCATATATGCTGTATGTTTTTGAAAGTCTTTGAAAAATTTTTTTTTGAAAAATTTTTATAGGGTGTATCGTCGTCGACAAACTAATCAACAACAAATAAAGCAACAAATTCGGAAGAGTCCAAGGATTGCTGCTGCTACTGCAGAATGTGTCTAATTCGTGTGGTTGATGTCTCAAGGTTATGTGTATAATGATGACTTTTCTATAGGATATTCAAAAAAATTTTTTTGGTGATTTTATTTTTCCTCCCGTTCGTAAAAATTTTTTTTAAATTGTTGGCTGATTTCTTGTCTTGACCATCCACAATTATTATATATTGCGTGTATATTTTGTGTTTTATTAAAATATGTTAGTAAAGAAAGGATTATATTATTTTAATTTTAAAAACATTTTGCTGATCGAAATGAGAAAATATTTTTTTAAATTTTCGGTGCTAGTGTAGTTC